CGAAATATATCTGAACCAAAATGTATCCGAAACCGAAATCAATCCGAACTGATTGCATGTAGAATGCGTTTTGAGAGTATTTTAGATATTTAAGTTGGGGTAAAAATATTTTTTATGATATACAAAAAAATAAAGTAGGAATTGTTTTTTTAAGATAGAGGGAGTATTCATATGAAAAATAGAGAAACAATATAAAATATTAAAAAATTGGATATTAAATGTAGTCTCACTTCCCTACCTATGGAACAACTAAAATAGTGACTATAATTACTTACGCTCAAAAATATAAGTTTATGTACTCCTTACGTTCGTAAATATTTTTTCTATTTGACTTTTCACGATTTTCAATACAGAATTTTAACTATTAATATCTATATTTATACATTAATATATTTTATAAAAAAATTGATATGGAAAAACTACGTTCCATAGGAATATATTGATATTAGATCTACATCATAATACAATACATTTTTTTCCGCGTATTGGACTCAAAATTTACAAAATTTAACATTTTTTGACTGAGATAGTACAAATGTATTTGTATTTTAATTGTTTTTCTGATTTTAATCTGCCTAATTTCTTTTCAGCACAAGGTCTGATTACGTTTCACTCGAACATGATCGAATCTAAATCCAATCCGGAATGCATTGGCCCGAACTTGTTCCTACTTGAATTTCGTATTGAAATGTGTTTATCCAAATTTGACCCGTCCGAACCATGGGCAACCGGTCCACTCGTTAGTATGATTGGACTATCATTAGGCCATATGATGAGGTCTATATGATGATTATATGTGGGTGGGCCTACAATTATAATTTGGATGAGACTATAATAAAATTAGGCATTTTTTAAAAAAACATTATTTGTAGACTAATCCAACATTTCAAAAAATTGGCACAACATGGATCACTTTTTATATGTTCTTATGGTTTGAAAAAAATGTTATATCTCGATATTTTGCGAGTATTTTGTCAATTGCACTGGAGGATAACTATGTTAAACATATGACATCTATAAATACTAGGTGCAGAATCTACTCTTTTACCACCAACCAACGATCAAAATCAAATATACCTCTCCTTAGTGATTGTCTAGTCAGATCTGAGAAGACCTTCATGGATGAGTTTATTTTTAAGAACGAAGAATTTGGTTATAATTACTGTGGGGGGGGGGGCTTGACAATTGTTCTGTTTTTTCACTTCAAGGATCATGATACACTAATACTAAGATGACCTTGTCCCATTATATTTCAAAGATCTATACAAACAATAAATATTATATATCAAAAGAATAATTATCGAACACTGATATTGAACACCGTTTTAGACAGTAATGAAACCAGACTCTCAAAGGAGCGGAGTCGATAGCGACAGAGCTAGAACCTCATAAGTGCGTTGCGGAGGCAATTATGAGAGTTTGGGGCAGTTTGCCCAAATTATTTTTTCCAAACACAATAAGAAATGACAAAAAATTAATATATTTGATCTCAAACGTTCAAATAATTCAAATTACATGATTAAATCACATCATTATTAGTTATAACAATTTAAAAAATGACATCGGTAGAAAATGCTGAAGTTAATATACATTACAGTGGTAGCTAATAATCAAGTTTTTACAAACACAATGGCATTAATGTTTAATGTTTAAAAATTTTAAATTTTAAATTTTAAATTTTAAATTTTAAATTTTAAATTTTAAATTTTAAATTTTAAGTTTTAAATTTTAAGTTTTAAATTTTAAATTTTAAATTTTAAATTTTAAATTTTAAATTTTAAATTTTAAATTTTAAATTTTAAATTTTAAATTTTAAATTTTAAATTTTAAATTTTAAATTTTAAATTTTAAAGTTTAAATTTTAAAGTTTAAATTTTAAATTTTAAATTTTAAATTTTAAATTTTAAATTTTAAATTTTAAATTTTAAATTTTAAATTTTAAATGGCGCAGAAAGAGAATTAAAAGTTTCCTTCTATTTTAATGTAAATTGTTTTCCCCCATTGAAGGATAATATTTTCTGTGGAAAATATTTTGCTTCCACTAATGTGACGAAACATAGGAAAATGGAATCTAAGTTTTCCTAGAAAATATTTTCCCCCGACCAAACACACCATAAGGTATATAACATTTTTGTGTAATGTTATAAAAACTATCAAAAACATCTAAAACTAATACTTTCTACTCGACGTTTACTCTAGCTTACTAAATGATAGCATCAAATCAACCACTCCGTTTCAATGTTTTTCACTATGATATGCCTCCGATCTTTATTATTGATCCAGCTTAAATACTCATTTACTTCAATTACCTCCACTTCTCTAAGTCAAAAATATTCTCTGCAATGCAACTCTTGTGCAGTAATTAGAGCCCCTTGTTAGTGTCGAGTAATAAAATAGAACCTCAAGAATCTATTGGCCAACTCCGTTAAAGTATTCAAATTAATCTTGAAATAAACATTATGCAACCACCGTTGATGGGTAAAAAATATGATTCTTCCCACATTAGTTTGGATTATAGAATAAAATTGTTTCAAAAAAATATTATTTTTCTTTTCATTGTTTAATAAAAAATAGTGATTTTGTGATTATTCTCCTTGCATTACTTACAGATCAAAAATATGATTCTTCTATTCTGCATCGCTGCATCAGTTTTAAATAGCGAAATAAATATTGTTCATCTCTCTCGCATTATTATGATTTTCTTTTCTCACACCGATTAAAAAATATCAGAATAATTCTTCTCTCTCGCATACGTCCAAAAATAAAATGTTAGATTAACAATAACATGATTCAAAAAAAAATAAAAAATAAGTAAATATTCAATATAATGATTGTATTCATTAGCATTAATTTAAAAAATTAGTATAAAAAAACATTAGTGATCCTATGATTTTGAATATAAATTTAAAAAAATATTTGATAGTTTTTTGGTGTTTTTTCTTTCTATTTGAATACAAAATTACTCATTTTTTAATTTATTTGATTTAAATATTTGATCATTTTGAAAATAATCTAGTCATTTGTAGTATTTTAATCTAGAGATTAAAAGATACGTTTTATATTTTATTTTATATCAATATTTAAATAAATAAATCAAAACTAAGTTCATTTGAGCATGTCATAAAAAATATGATTTTTTCGAGGTTATGAAAGTAATTGTTTTTGAGGAAGGAAATCTCATTTATTAATTGATAGTTTTATTATAAATGTTGTGAAAAAGTATAAAATTAGAAAAATGTATTCTAATGAAAGCGATTATCTCTTTTCCAAAATTAAATTTACTAAATAATGTTAAAATCATAAAGAATGTTAGTGTAAACATAGTATATCTTCGTAACATTTTTTATATCAATTGTTAACTATAATTTAATTAAAAATATCATATAATAATAGATAACTATAAATGTTATATTCTTCAATTTAAATCATAAATAATATACGGAATATAAACAATAAATTGTATAGCAATAAAATAAAATCATAAAATCAATATATTCGAAGTATGAAAATACGTATTGAAATGTTGACAGATGTCATTCTTTCAAAGATTGAAGTAAAAATTTATATGTAAAAGATAAAATATTATAACCGTCTAAATCAATAAAACTCGTGTGAAGTCAATGAGTAAATGTGTTCTTATTCTATTTCTTTATATCCTCTTATAGATTGTAAATTATTAGAGCCCACTTGTGTAAAAATGGTAACTCACACTGCTATAATTTAGTTTGATTAGTTTAAATTTTTAAAATGATAATTTATAATATTTTTAATATAATTAATGGTATTAAACATGATCTTTTAGTGTTAGTGTTTTTAAATAATTTGAACGCTTAAAAATTTATTCAAAAGGATACGTCTATACGATTCGTTTGAAGTAAGGTTTTTTTTCATGTTTTGCATAAGATTGACCCGGTTATATTCTCCTTCTTCTAAAAGAACTACTTAGAGTAACTCTTTTTTATTTGTCTAAAAAAATTTACACTTTATCTATTTTCTACTCTATTTTCTTTTTGAAAAATATTTTCTACTCTATGATTGACTCATTATTTATCCATTTTCATTTTATAAATGAACGATTGACTCATCATTTGTCTATTTTCAATTATTTCATTGACATCGTACAAATGGAGAAATGGAAAATTAGAAATTACTCGGAATGGAAAATTCATTGACTTTATGACATTCTTGTAGCTTTTTAAAAATTCAAAATTTTTTGGACTTACTCCGGAGTATATTTTAAGATATACGGACTAAATTAAAGCAGAAAAAAGTATATGGAGTACGTAATACCAAACAACAACAACCCAGTTAAATCCCACGAGAGTAGGGTCTGGGGAGGGTGTGTGTACGCAGACCTTACCCCTACTTGAAAGTAGAGAGACTGTTTCCAAAGAGACCTCCGGCTCAACGTCGAAAGTTGCATTGCTTGACTAACTGCTACTTCATTAATTAAAGAAGCGCAGACAATTTAGAGATCCATTTTGATTTATTCCATCACACCCCAACGCCAAAAAAAATGGTGAAATTTTGGCTCCATCAGAGATGATTGAAAGGGAGTACGTAATACCTTGCAACTTAAATTGGTAATTCCTATTTTGATCCAAAATACCTTGTAATAGCTTTGGATTTAAGGAGATGGCAGAGCGGAATTTTTCTTTTTAAAAACACTTCGATTGAAGAAGGAAAAAATTTTAATTTTCTTAAATGCTATAAAAACATACCAATCAAAGATGAAGTATATTTGGAAAGAATTCTCTAAATTCAGCTCACCTTATTACGCCACATAGCATGTCAATTATATTGCCACATGCCCACATGTCAAATTTTTGCATTGCTAAATGTCAATTTCTCATAGTACAAACTCTCAAATTTTATATTAAAGGATATATATGTATGTATATATATTTAAGAAGCCAATCTTGGGCCAAAATGGCATTTTCCGAACGCCAATCTTGTGTTGGCCTTACCTATTTGGGTCGGTCCACACATTTATTATTAGAGAAGTGAGGAAGCTTATATTTGCAATTGGAAAGATGATTCCACAGGTGTTCAACAATTCACCCCATTGATTATCCAATGTGTAAAAGAATGAACTTTACATAGAACAATGTGTTGAATCCAAGAATGTTTAAGGTTTTGTAGGACCCGTCCGTTCGGGACCCGAACAGGGACCCATCCACGGATGGGGCCCAGTCCAATCGCAAACATAGATTGGAACACAAAACTCGCTATTCGTTGATAGAGGAGAGCCAAGGGTTAGGCGCGACGTAAGTGTAACCTTGGAAGTGTTCTCCGGCGGTTGGGGTGGCGGCAGGGGAGTCGTCGGGGGGCATTGTGGTCCAACACTTGTCGAAATTGGCGGTGCAGTCATTGCCATTCACATCCGGTTTGAAAACTGGCCGCAGCTCTCTCCCCTCTATCTTCTTCCAGTTGATTGATCCAAACCATTTGTGGCTCTTTATCTCACCTGCCCCTCTGCTCCCACTGCCTAGCCTTGTTGCTGGGTCCTTTTGCAGCAGCTATGGAAAAATCAAAACATTAAATCACTGTTAGGGCTTAACAAGTTGGAGAGTTTCACACAATAAACCCAGAGAAAAAATAACAATCGAATGTAGACAAGACGCATGTCTAGATTCGTTCAACTTCACAGAAATCATAATGGTCAGTTAAAAATCGCTCTTTTGGTAGTAGTAGTAGTAGACCCTCAATTGCTTGACATTATGTAATGATAAAATCGTGTACTTACGCCTTTGAGCAAAGAGTGAGCTTCACTAGTCAGCCGCGGGGGGAGTTTGATCTTCTCCTTTGTGATTTTCTCCTGAAGCTTCTTTCTGTTTGAATGTGTGAATGGAGGCTGAAAGATTGAAAAGAAATTCAATGAAAAGATACTACACCCTCTGTCCCAAAATGATGAAGTTTACACGTTTATTTTCGGAATATATTAAAATAAAGTTCAAACTTATATACTCTAAGAAAATGAACATGTAGTTTACAATTTTTTACCCTTCAAAACAAATTTCAACCACACAAAATTTTACTTTTCAATACTTTTCTTAGACTCGGTGAATATTTATTTACCTGACCAGTCAGCATCTCATACAAGAGGATCCCAACACTCCACCAGTCAGCATCTTTGTTGTGTCCTTTGGACAGTAAAATCTCCGGAGCCATATACTCGGTTGTCCCACACATTGAATTTGACCGGCTTGACCCGTCAATCTCTTTGGCCAGCCCGAAATCAGTTAGCATGACCTGATGATGATATAGGATGCTGATTTAGAAAAAAATATATATATTATGGAAGTGTAAAATATAGGGTACATCACTTCTTGTGTGCTTCAGTTGTGTAGCTTTATCAAAGTGAGTACATGACCATCAGCATCCATGAGAATATTTTCGGGTTTAAGGTCACGGTGCACAATCCCTTTCTGGTGGAGATGCGACACAGCAGATACTATCTCAGCAGTATAAACCCTTGCTTGTTCCTCACTACCCAAGACATAACCAGAAACGGGAAACATAAGCTAAAAATAGAGGACACATAGCATCACCGTGTCATGGAGAAGGGAAAAGTTAACGTTACCTGAATACCCCTTGTCTATACAGATGATAGAATAGATGCCCTCCATTGATATAGTCCAAAATCAGGTAAAGCTTGGACTTTGTCTGCAAAAATTTTTTCAAATTTTTTAAATTTATTTTCTTGCACAATCCAAAATTATAAGACATGCTTTTCAAAATTATAAACATGACTTCTTTTCAAAATTAATGCACATATGTGCAGAGCTAGAGAAACATATGAACACCATTAGCTCATATAAAGCATTAACATCGAAAAATCTTATAACTCAACATATAGCTAATACAAGACCAACAGATAAAAATAAATTAATGATCAAAACAGTCAAAATACAGCAATGAATGGAAGGCTTAGTAGCTATGATGGCATCTAAGATTTTAAGGTAGTAATCAATAATCATAGTTGTTACCTGAAAAGACTACATATATAGATTTTAATGAACATATTAGTGAAACATATGAACACATATAAAGCCCATAAACATTGAAAAAATCTTATAATTCAACATGGTGTTACTCAACATATAGATAATACAAGACTAAACAGATACAAATAAATTAATGAACAAAAATCCCAAATACAGCATTGAATGGCATCTAATAAGGCAGTAATCAATAATCATAGTTGTTACCTGAAAAGAGTATCTTAGCTGGACTATAAAAGGGTGGACAACTTTGGTGAGAATATCCCTTTCAGCTCTCATGTAATCCACATGATTGTTCTTGATGATTGTGTCCTTCCTCATCACCTTCATAGCGAAAATCCCATCGCCTTCGGTTCCGTTTTCGCCCTTCATCCTCACCTGAAAGACCTTTCCAAAAGCCCCTTTCCCTATGACCCTCAAGATCTCAAAGTCCTCGGGTCCAATCTTTTTCAGATGCCCATTGACCTCAAAGTTGGCGAATTTCTCGATCTCGCCCTCGGAGTCGATTTCCTGGTGGAGAGGAAGGGGGTTTGATGGGGTTAGCCGCGGGGAGGGGCCCACGAAGGAGTGGGAGCGGCTGTGGATGACTGGCGGCGGGTCGCCGGAGGAGGGGGATGAAGATGGGGGCGGGCCGAAGAGATCGGAGAATTCAAAATCGGGGTCGTTGGAGGCGGCGGATTCGGGGATTTTGAGGTTGGTGAGCCTGGCGGCGAGGATGGAGTGAAGGGCATTCTTCTGGTGAGCTGCGGGAAGCTTGTTCATGGCGAAACGGCCTAGAGTTAGGGTTAGCTTTTGATCGGTGCTGGGCCAGCTGAGATCGTCGAACTCAGGGCGGGTTGAAGAGAACGAAGGGCTACATCAGGCAGGATGGTGGACGCCGGCGACGAACGGGGCGGCGGGAGAAGGCGCAGAAGCGGTGGCGATAAAAACAGGAGACAGAGATGGAATAATGGAATCGAATGATTGTTGAAGCCGATGAAAGCTGCAGCCTGGCAATTCGCGGCAGATATTTTGGGGGCAAATTAGTAACTTCACGTCACAGCACTTTCTATGTTAGACCCCGTTTGGTACAAGGAATTCAAATTATGGAATTGGAATTGAGAACTTCAATTCCAATTCTGGTATTTGGTAACATAATTATTATGTGGATTTGGATTTGATAGTGCAAAAAATGAATTGAAATTGGTGAATTCAATTCTATGGAATTGAATATAATGGAATCCCAATTCCAATTCAATTCTAATTCCATCAATTCCGTATACCAAACAGACCCTTAATATAAGTTTCATTTTTAGTTTTGTTTAAAGGAGAATTTACGTAAATAGCACTAAAATATAATGACTTTCCTTAAATAGTATCACATGTATTTTTTTCCAATGTAGCACTTTTAATCATTCTCCATTAGTCATTATTCAAATAAATGTTTGCCATCACTGGTCATTATAGACATTATTAAGTGTTATTTAGGAAATAAAACCATTTAAGTACCATTTAGTGTTATTTATTGCAAATATTTCTTATTTGAATACGGAGTAAATTTTATTTGATTTTAGGATTGTTAAGTTTTAATGATTTCTAGGGGTGTGGGTGTGTCGGGGCTGCGCAAGGGATTTACCGAGGTGTAAGAACTGACAAATTTACGAACGGGGTATTAGAGCACCCCGGATCATCCCATGACATGAGATTCCAGTGTCATGAGACCCACACAACGTGCATAAACAGTTACTCATTTTATCATTTGAATAATGTTTTCTTTCATCTTTTTTTCTTTGTTTTACTTTCTTCTTATTTTCATTTTAAAGATGGTTAATTTGAATATGGCCTTTAGAATTTTCTTTTAAAGAAAAATGTTCAACTGCATATTAAGATGTATAATAAGAGATGTATAATAAGAAATAATAGAACCATAGTTTTAAAAACCGGACCGGACCGGCCGGTTCGGACCGGAAACCGGTGAACCGGTCACCGGAGCGGTCCGGTTGAAGGGGTTAGACCGTATCCTGCATCGAACCGGTAGTCAAACCGGAAACCGCCCATATTTTCGCCGATCAGTAGGCGTCGGTTGACTCCGGATGAATGCATGAGGCGGCCGCCATGGCGAAGAGGGTGAAGTTGACTGGCGGTAAAGAGCCGACCATAGCAGATGCGTAGCGCTGCAACTTTGTTGGCGGCTGTGGAAGCTTGATTGAGAGTAGGGTTTAGTCGTTTAGATTTCTTGGGAACTAAAGACACTTGCGATGTACTCCGTATGTATGGGCTTTAGCTTTGGGCCTATTACTTGGATTGTCGTTTTATCCTTATGTGATCCACTATAACACACACATTTTATATATATATATATATATATATATATATATATATATATATATATATATATATATATATATATATATATATATATATATATATATATATATATATATATAAACCACTAATTCGACCAGTGAACCAATAAACAGTACCCTTGATCGGTTCGATCACCGGTCCGGTTCTGAAAACTATGAATAGAACCATTAAACATAGTATTACATTCATGTTCTAAACTAGTGGAAGAAGAAGTACACTTCATAACCACTAAAAGTACAATTATATCAAAGTTCTAATAGCACAACTGAACCCGATACACACTAATTAATACACATATACAACAAATAAGTGCAAGTTCAGCTAGACAAGTGAATCTGTATAACAAAATAAAATAAAATAAAATAAAATAAAATAAAATAAAATAAAATAAAATAAAATAAAATAAAATAAAAGAGTACTTCTAACATAAGTGATGGGAGGAAAACCGAGATTCGTCACAGCCCTTTCTCGAAGGTGTTACCGATCTGATGCATATGTAGCCATTCCTGGTGGGTTTCTCGTGTGTAATCTCTTGCCGGGGGTTGTGTGTCGAAAAGCATTCCGGGTGGATGAAATGTTGTTGCAGGCTCGAGCTGAAGATGAACGAACACATTCAAGATTAGAAGAAAAAAAAAACTAAAATGGTTATATGAATGAATAAATTATTTGAATGAAAGCATTTCATTTTTTTGTTCAAGTCTTGCACGTGAACATCTGTTTGTTTTTTTTGTTCAAGTCTTGTACTGGAACATCTGCTTTTTCTAAACAAGCAAGAAACCAACTCAAAATATAACAAAGGAATCATGTCCCCAAACAGACTCTTGTATTGGATTTGGATCCTCCGAACAGATGAGGTCACGCCAAGTCTAACAAATTTTGAACACATTTAGATGATCCAAACATGTATTGTGATCTTTAGTACTCATACGCCAACGTTTGCCATGATTAGAGTATAAAAGGTTTCTTGAGCCTACAACCACAAGCTTAACTTGAGCTTCTGCTTAACATATTTATTGTGTTTAGCTGAATCAAACAACTCTTCTTATTTCAACTCACTCTATATAGTTATATTATATCCACCCCTAAGAAACCAATAATGAGTGCTCAGCAAAGATAGAAATTTGCATAATGGTTGAACGCATCCCCGTCTTGGTGCAAATTAGGCATGAATATATGTTGCACAGATTCTTCAAATGAGTGTCGTTTCCCGTCCCCATCTGGATACTTGGGAACATCCTGAGACCCAACTTCTTTATAAAATTTGAAAAGGTTTTTGTTTCAAGGATTCCGATCCCGTCCCCATCTCGGTGCAACTTAGGTTGCATTTTGGTAGGGTCTATTTGGTTGTAAAAACAGAATTTTCTTTATAAATAATCTCTTCATTCACATTTAAGTGATCATTATGACTTTTGAGAGATTTTCCTATTTCTAAAAAACACTTTACTTGAAAATGGGTTAACCCAAACATGCTATAAGTCAAAATCTACCTATTCTATTAGTTACTCCAGTTCTGCTGATAAGGTTACCCAAATGAGCACTAAAAACATAAATGTACAAATATTAAGACACCTACAACACCATAAGAAGTGAAGGACAATGGGGGCCCTCAAAATAGACTTAACAGGGCAGCTATATTGAATGCTATTTAAAAAAATTAATATATAAGAATATGAGTTAGGTAGCATTCCGTTCAACTTATTTTTTCTGCTTATTACTTATTCTTACTATAATCAGATCAGACCAGGATATGAGTTGGGCAGCGTTCCATTCAATTTATTTTTTCTGCTTATTACTTATTTTAATTAGAATCAGATCAGACTAGATCAAATCATTGCCAATTGGTTTTGAGATGGAAAAGTTAGTAATAACTTACATCTTTCTGAGAAAATGCTTCCAAAGTGGGATTCATCTTGCAATTAACTGCTTCTAGCTTCATTGACAAGAACTGCAAATCCAATCCGAACGACCGGAATAAGACACTCTGTGTGTAAATATATTCATATGACGATAAGAACGCTACACGTAACGAAAATCACCGAGAAGATGAGAAAGAATTACTTCAACTTGACATTGTAGCGATTGGATATAATTGATTATTTCATCCAGAACAAGGGCTTTTCCAATAACCTGTAAACAGATAAATTGCAGATAAGCTAAAAAATTTATAGATAAAATGGAGAAATTTATAGATAAGTTACCTAAGCACCCTCATCTCATCTCAAACATATAATAAGATCATAAAATGTAAAAAAAATTTAAAAAAATAACCTTATTGCATCCAGGGACTAAGTCCTGCAGAATCTTCATCCTCTCACTGATCTTTTCCCTCCTAGCCTGGCAGACATACAGGTTTCTAGTAAAAAAACATGTTTAGGAACATAATTAATGACAGTTTGATGATGATTAGGAACATAATTACTCTTTCTGCTAAACTGTGACTGTCAGTAGCTTGGCCCCTTCTTGCCCTGACATGGATGTACTCTTTAGGCAGCTCCATTTTATTATTAGTTTCTTCATTTTGGTTGGCAATTGCTGGAGAAGTAGACTCTGTTTCCACCATTGATCCACAAGTTTCATCTTTGGGTTTTGATGATGATTTCATCCTCTTCAAAATGGAGTCATTCTGCACATAAAAAGATTAACTTTCACATAATCTTTTAGAAATTGGCAAAAAAAATGGCATTAGTAAAACCTTCCAATTTTAAAACCTTAAATCATGAAAAGAATTTGAGGAATTAAGATGAGAGGAAGAAAGAAAATGAGATGAACAAATAGATGAAGGGCAAACATGGACATGTTAAACTTGAGAATCCATTAGATTAGATAATGACAGGTTAGATTAAATGCAGACTATATGATTAAAATGATTAAGAATTAAAAAGGAACAAAAAAAGAAGCAAAAAGTCATCAAGTTTGAGAAGAAAAATCACAGGCAAGGAAGGATCTACAAGGAAAAATTAAAAGGCATATTCCAACAGTTCAGTAAAGTTCTTTGCACCATAATAAATCATGCAAAGATGCTACTTGTCTCAATATTAAGTCAAACTTTATGGAATCAATTCTTGACATGACACGTGTCATGATTTACAGAACAAGTAGCACTGTAGCAGGGTTCAGTGTAATATGGAGTAATACATTAAAACTAAAACTATGTTTGGTTCAAGGAATTTGAGAGGAAAAAGAAAAGAAAATTAGGTGGAAAACTGTTTTTCTTGTTTGGTTAGAGGGGAAAAGAAAGGAAAAGTGGAAGGAAAAGAAAATGAGAAGGCAAAATGTACAAAGTGGAGGAAAACCAAATTCCTTCCATTTTGGTGAGGAAAATGAGAGAAAACCATTTTTTTGTTTTCTTTCCAAATTCCTTGAACCAAACATAGTGTAAATAAATAAAAAAAGGAATCCATCCTTCAATTAAACATATCCATAATTAAATAACTAATCAAATAAAACTGATACTAGATATTGATATAAAAATAATTTCAACAGATTTATTTTATAAATTATTCATTTTTATTTAATAAGAGTTTCAAAGTTGAAAATGATTGAGTGCACAAAGTCAAAAAATGGACATATACTAAAGACGGAAGTATAATAATACTCCTTCCGTCCCAAAGTGGATATTATTGTTACTATTACAGTCTCTCGATAACTTTTGTTTGTTTGTATGTTTTCATTGATAATTTGATAAAATAATATATTATTCTTACCTCATATTTTAGAATTTTTTATGTACTTTGGAACGGTGTAATTTATATTTTTATTTCTATACCACTTTGTAATTAAAATTATTTAAAAGTGATGAGATTGTACATTGTTCGGAGTGTGGTATCCATTATGGGACAGAGAGAATAATAATCCGTAATAATAATAATAATAATAATAATAATAGTTTTAATTATTACTCTCTCCGTCCCAGTATATTTGTCAAATAAAAATTGTAATATATTTTAACATAAAAATGACTTTATTGGATTTATTGTATTGAGAACTTTCAAAATTGTATTTCATTATGCTAATATGCAATATAAATTGAGAGTAATCAAAGTTCAAAGTTTTTCCAATTTAACTCGAAAAAGTCAAACTGGACAAATACACTAGAACGAAGGTAGTATTATAGCAATAATAATAAAAGAAAGTCTAAAATGACATCAGTGCCCATTGTTGTTGTTTCCTTACACCAGTTTGTTTGAGACACATACGATGTCCTTTGGATAAAAATGATGGTTCTTACTCTCTCAGGGTTCATACTACCTGGGTAGGGAGGGGGCAGAGTGGGGTAGGGGCAGGGGCGGGCTTTTAGGGAGAGGTTAGGGTGTAGGAACTATCATAGGGGCATTATAGATTTCAAACGAATTGATATATGCAACTGGTGTGTCACTAACCGCCGGTGAAATTGGAGTTCCCACATCGGAAAATAAAGATGAGTATCACTTGCATATATTGAAGGGTGAAGCCCTACCTATCAGCTTAAGCTTTTGGGTTAGAATTGTGGATCCCGACTTTATATGTAAGTGGTTAATTTTACCCGACACTCTATCCGTTGTTCTTGGCCCGCCGGAATTTTAATAAAGACCAATTAATTAGAACATTTTTGAACATGGGATTCCTTCTTACTTTTAGTAAAAAATCATAGTCAAAGTTTAACTAGAACTTATCTAATAGGATTGACAATTACTGGAATTCAAACAGAAGAAAAAGAAGAAGGAAGAAATTCAACGGATTGTCAATTTAATTTAAATTAAATTAAATGAGAAATTTCACCAAATTAGGATTAGCACCAGCACTGGTGGACGCGACCTTGGTGGAATCGTCCCCGCCCCTCCTCTTCCGGCCACCGCAGGCATTCCCCCCGCTGCCGCTCTGCTCGGTCACAGTCGATTCGTCGACGGAATTGGCGGCGGCCGCCGCTTCCGCGAATCCAGGAAACGAGCACATCCTCAGCCCCATCCCGCCTCCCACTGGGTTGTCGCCGCCGCCGGTACTCCCCGCCACGGCCAAGCACGGCCATATCTCCGCCAAGCTGTACGACGTCGGATTGGGCGCCGAAAATGATGCCGCATTAATTATCGAAGGATCCATTTTGTTTACTCACTCAACTCTTAAAAATTAAAAACTCCCCCAAATACGGCAATATATGCCCACACAAATATATACGGAGTATATATGAAGACAAGGAGCACCCGACCGGACGGGTCGAACCGTAGAGATCTTTCAGTACTCGGTCAAAATTGGTCGCGAATAATAAAAAATTAAAAATCTTAAATTGCCAAATTTGTACGGAGTAATTTATTATTTAAAAAAATAATAAAAAAATATCTTCCAACAAAAATGATTTTAAAAAAATTATTTTTCTTAACCGCCAAGTCCAAATGCTACTCACCTTGACATTTCAGATTTTGGCTTTTCGGATCAAAATGTCAAGTGAAAAAGTCATTAGCCAAACAATGGTTTTGATGGTTCGCTTGGTCAAAAAAACCAAAGTCAGTCAAAGATGTCAAAAACTATCCTAAATGCTGTTTTCCAAACACGGCCTTTATATTTTACTTTAGCATTTTTTATTTTATACCATCTTTGTCTTAGAGTATTTGTCTAATTTTAATTTTTTTCAATCAATCATTATTAATCTTTAACCTATAATTAAATAAAATACATATCATATATTAATTAGATAAAATAATGTTTTAAAATATTTTATATAATAAATCTAATAGAACTATTTTTGTATCAATATCTAATATTATTTTTATATAGTTTGCGGTCAAAGTTTACCAATTTTGATTGAAATAGTCAAAAGTAGACAAATATTTCAAAACAAAAAAAGTATATATTCCGTATTTGTATCATCTTAAGTAGACATGTAACTTTGTAGAGTCAAATGTGAATTTTGAAATAGGGATAGAAACTATGTACTAGATATTCTTTAGTCTTCAAATAGATTTCACCTTCTTTATTGAAGGAAAAAAATGCATATGGAATCATTACTTCTTATTTTATATAAATTTTAATTATTATTCATCGCTTTTTAAATTAAAACACTTTGTTAAGTCATTAAACAATGAACTTTATTTTGAGTCAGAGAAATATTTGTCTTCTTTTCTAATTTTGAGCTTAATTCTTATTATCTTCGTTTAGTGTATTTTTTTTCAATTTGATATTTTTAAATCAAAATGGACAAACTTTGAGTTTGAATTACTCTCAATTTGTCCTGCATATTAGTATCTTAAAATAAAATTTTGAAAGTTTTAAATAAGATAAATCTAACAAATTAAAGTATTTTTGTACCAGTACATATTACATTTTTTGTTTAATTGAAGCTCAAAGTTCATCCTATTTTATTTGAAAAGGTTAAACAAAACAAATATACTGGAACAGAGACAGTTATTCTATTAATCAGTACATCAGTACTTATGAAGTGTACTTCTGCCAAAAACATTGGCATCAAGTAGCATATATGTGACTCAAATCACATGTTCACACAACAATAATGATATTAACTTTGTCTTAGTGAGTTAATAATACTCATATTGCACTACACCTCAGCCGAGTGAAAATATTTATGCACAAAGCCCACTATGTTATCTTTTCTATCAATTTTAATCGAGGTTTAGATTCACGTGACCGAAATACGTGTAAAATGATTTTTACACTTATTAAAGCTGAAAAAACTAACCATTTAACCCATGATTTCTTTTTCAATCCAAGACTAAGTTCATGTCTTCTTGAACTTATTTTTTACTTATTATTTATTTTTATTGAAATTAGGTCAGATCAATATACATTCATATCAGATCATATCATTCTGCATGCACGTCAAACAAATAAGTTTACCGTTCTAAAACTTCTTTAAAGTCTAATCGAGAACTTAAATATCAAACAAAAGAAGTATTGCATGAGACGCAAATAGTGAGATATACAAAAAAGTCAAACTGTCCAAAAAAATCGAGACGGATGAGTAATATACTCCCTCCGTCCAAAAAAGAAGTTCCCGGTTTGACCCGGCACGCACTTTAAGAAAAGTTGAAATTGTCTTTGACTTTCCCATATTACCCTTATGCCTACTCTCTTCCGATCCTCAATCCTCACTTCCTTCTGTGAACCCTCATACATCTCCTTCAACCATTATTACCACAAAAATTAACTTTCTTACACAAAATTAAATTGAGGAATTGGGGAAATCTGGGAAATTTATAGTTAGAACTATGAACAAATATGGGAAGCTTTGGGAAAAAAGAAAAATTAAATGGGCGGAGGTGATGGAGATTATACTACATTAGACCTGTCCGGATCCGGCCGCCACACACCTCCGACCACTGCCTCGGTTTTCCGGTGCTCCCAATCTTGGGTGACGGGAAAAAATAAGAAGGGGAGACATTAGATCTGTTCGGATCCGGCCGCCACACCCCTGACCACCGCCTCGATTTTCCGCTGCCGGCTGCTCCCAATCTTGGGTGACGGAACAAATTAAGAAGGGGAGGAAAAAGAAAAGAAAAAAGAAGAAGAAGAAGAAGAAGAAGAAAAGAGAAAAGGAAGAAGAAGAAGAAGAAAAGAAAAAAGAAAGAAGATGAAGAAGAACGGAGAAGTAGAAGAGAAAGAAGATGAAGAAGAAAAGAGAAAAGAAAGAGAAGTGAAGAAAAGAGGATAAGAACGGAGAAGAAGAAAAAGGTGTGGTTGGGTGAAGAAAAAAAAAGATAAGGGAGAGAGAGAATGGAGAAAAAAAGATAAGGGGAGAGAGTAAATGAAGGGTAATTAAGTCTTTTTAGTATTAAAAACTTTCCAAAAAAGGAAATGGGAAGTTTATTTGTGAACGGACGAAAAAGGAAAGTGAGAAGTTTTTTTGTGGACGGAGGGAGTACATTTTTGCTTCTAACAAAATTTACCAACACCTTTCTATTTTTTCCAATTTATTCCATCCATTTTGATTTTCTTCCACTACCTAATTGTTTTTCCAATTGTTTTTCCAATTGTTTTTCATATATCTTCTCACACCCCATTATTCAACCTAAAAATGGAAAGAGGGTTGGAAGAGACAATAAAGGGGAGCCTAACCCCTCTTTAATCTTACAAATATCCCTTTTTATGTGCCTAACTTATTTCCGTTCTCCAAACTAAGCACCCACCAAGCAAAGCAAAAGCTGTGCTTAAGAAAGTTTTCTTTGGACATTACCCAAATGAGGTATTAATGGACCGTCTGGCTTAACTTCGTTCTTATCCTCATTATTAATTAGCCCACCAGTTTTCTTTAAAAAAAGAACCTTTTAAAAAAACCCACCCAAAAATATTGGGGTAAGATTTTTTTAACCCGAGCTAAAAATGACCCTAGAACGACATAAACAGATTAGGACACTTACAGTTCTGTTGGAAAAATTGATGGCTCTTTCCCAAACCCCTCCCTACCCCCTTACAGACCGCTTCAACTTTATCTAGATTGCTCATTTGACCAAGCCCAAATCGGCAGTCTAGGAGGCAGCAGGGTTTGGAAGGGTTGTAGGGTAAGCACTATTAGTTTTAACAACAGACTAACGTAGACGACCCTCGTTATTTTAAGGTCAAAATATCATAGGTCAAAAGGACCACGGTAAAAATATTGTTACCCATTTATCAGATTGGTTAAGTTGACATTGCATTGCGCTGATATCAATCGACACTAGTCATTAGAACACCTACAATGCTCCGCTCCAAAAAATACTCTTTTGAGCGAAGGTATGAACTAATGAACAAGAAAAGCGAGAAGATAAATCTTGGACGGAAATTTAAAAAGGAGCAATAAAAACCAAATCAACAACATTATGCTAGTGCCTCAAAGGCTCCCGCCAAATGTCGAGTAAGGGAGTTGAATGTATGCCGTCTGACCTCGACCTTATGAGCCATGACGAAAATAGAGCTGCATTGAGTAACTCTTACTTCAATATAAAAGAAGCACATATTACAAACTTATCCCACATTCGTACTAAATCTGTACTTTGCGCGTGTTGAAGTCTAAACAAGGGGGAAAAATACGTTACATAATTAGTGATGCAATAAAAAAATATTAGAATTTTTTATAGCTATAAGAACTAACTTGACTCAACTCAACATACAAAGGCTAAATCTACTCATAAGTACATTTAAAGAGACCAAAATTGAGTATTAATCCTAATTTTCAGAATATAAGACTGCATATGAAAACACACCGGAAACAAAGGATTTGTTTATAAATATACTCTTTAGAATTCTATCATGGATATGTACATCCTACTCTCCCTTGCACTCCTTTTGGAAGTGTTGAAAAATAGAGAGTACTTCCTCCATTCTACAATAACTGTCTATCAAGGTTTATTAGATACATTAAATTTTGAATGAATGTAGACATACTTAAGTCTACATTCATTCAAAATCTAACATGTCTAAGGAAGGCTACTCGCTCTTCCTTACTCCTCGTAAGTTCTCACAACAATGCTTTAACCTGTACATTCCACACCCCCTTTTTGCCATTTGTCACATCACTTGCTCGTGCGAGCCGTGCCTACGGACTATGATTGATCCTCCATTAGATAAACATTGTTTGTTAGATAGCTTTTTCAAAATGTTAAACGCTAAAGTTGTTGCCAATTGGGTACTATGATTGATCCTCTATCATCGCTCTCGTTGTTGCGACGAACTTCATATCCTCCTCAATTGTCCTTTTTTGTAACTTCTTCTCGGACTCCCACCTACGTCCCTCATCGAGCAACTCCACAAATCTATCTTTGATCTCAAGAATCGGGTCCCGGTCAACGAGTCGATCGCCCTCATAAGCTTCCCTAAGCACCGCGGTCTTTATCCCACCCTTCAACGAAACATAGAACACCCCCGGGTGCCTAGTGAACAAGTTCGGGAAGGCATTCGAAAACCTGTACTCCTCCCCAAACTTGCCCAGAACCGGAACCGGTACCCTCTTGAGAATGGAGAGAGAGAGCAGCTCGTGGAAAACCGCGACCGTTCTCTTCTCCATTTCCCTAGAGGATGGTCCCAAGTGGGACGAGTCCGCGTAGGGGGAGATGTAGGGGAGTTCCATCCAATCTCTCACCCATTCCCTCATCTCCTTCTTGATGAAGAAGCCAGGGGGAAGGGTCCAGTTGAATGCGGGCATGATCCGTATCCCGGTTAACCTCGATTCCTCCTCGGATCTCCGTTGGATCACGGATCGGGCGAAATCGTCCTTCCATGAAACCAATTGCAAGAACGATTTCGCCGATCCGGGAGGTTTGATCAACCGGAAAAGCTCGGGGTGTCTGGGAACCAAATTGGTTAGGAAATCGTTGGGGAAACCGAAATCCCTCTTGGCCTCGAACAATTTATCTGCAGAGATTACCCTATCCCTAGACATCATCAGCAATTTACAGAGCTTGGAGACTAAGAAGCTCTCGTTTCGGGTGTAAATTTCGCTCTCTTCCTCCAGGAACCGCCGGAGCGGGACGCTGGGCCGGAGGTACGGGACGGGGTCGGAATCGGGTCGGATCCGACCCGAGTAGGTGTCGAACAGGCCCGGATTCCGCGCGAGGAAGGTGGGGACGTTTACCGGGAGAGAGAGCCGCTCGCGGCGGTTCTGCAAGTATCGGAGGGAGATTACCTGGCCGGGCTCGTTGAGAACCTCCCGGACGAGCCTCGCGCAGAGCTTCCATGGCTTGTCGTTCTCGATGGCTTGGTCTAGGTTCCGATCCCTTCGCCAGGGCACCTTGAGGCTGGAAATGGAGGCGTAGAATCGAATTGAAGCTCCGAGAGGCCGGATTCCATGGCGGACTGACTGGGAGTATGTACGGCGCCGTCGACAGAGCATTGCTGCGGATGTAAAATATTTAATCGCGGGGTTTCGCGGCGGAAATTCCGCTGCGATAGAGTAGTAGAGTGTGGAAGATTTCCTAAGAATTAGATATTCAAAAATCATTTTTTTTATTTCAATGTTTTCATTAATGATTTGATAAAATAAATTAAATAATATTTCTTCCGTCCCGGAGTATTTGTCCAGTTTTGACTTTTGGAACTGTTCATCTAAGCACTTTGACTCATCAAATTCTCTCAATGTGTAAGCCTAAATATAGTCATGTGTGATCTTGTTTGATTTGTCTTAACATATACTCCTTCCGTCCTAAAACTTTCTTCCCAGAGCACTATTCCAACTTTACGGAAATTTATATTTATTTGTGTTTTTTCATGACCTATATGATAAAATAAAATATTCTTGTCACCACTTGTTTTGTTGAACTTTTGATGTAATTTTTAAATATGTATGTTTTATTTTTTATTTCTATACCAATATTTAAATAAAATAGATTGAAAAAACTTGGGATTTTTCTTCGTAATTTCTATAATTTTTTAATATACAAATTACAAGATAAAATGGATTAAAGAAGTGTATTGGATGGTGTGTAAAAATGAAAATGGACAAATACTCTTGGACGGAGGTAGTATTATGTAATTTTTTACTCCCTCCGTCCGGAAATATTCTTCCCATTTTCCTTTTTGGTCCGTCCGGAAAAATTCTTCTCATTTCCTTTTTTAGTATACTTTTTAAGGCTAAATATCAATAATACCCTTCTATTATATCACAAATCTACTTTTTTAATACTTTTTTAATAATAAAAGGAGATTTAAAAGTTTATAGTATGTGCATTTTTGAAAAATTTGCATTTTTTTTACTATTCCTTAATAAGCGTGCCAAGTCAACACGGGAAGAACATTTACGGACGGAGGGAGTATTACGTAAATTTTATTTTTTATTTCTATATTAGTCTTTAAATAAAATGAATTGAAAAAAATTAAAATGTTGGTTTGGTTTTACATAGTGACAAATATGCTTTTTTTGAGCTGAAATTATTGGAAAACACTTTTTTTTATCTTGTTTGGAAATAGCATGTGTAAAGTAGCATTACATTTTTGAATAAATATTAAGTATATAATTGTCTTGTTTCGGAATAGCATTTTCGATTAACGTTAATGTTTTGGATAAGATTTTAATGATGTAGATTAATTCTTAAAATGCTAACACTAAAGTTTACTGTCTGATAGTCTTTTCAAAACGCTAACACTGATGCCAAATTAGGCCGATGTAGATTAACGTTGAGAACATCAACACTGAAAATTGCTTGATGGAATTTAATCTCTTGTAATATTCATTAATGGGTAATATATAATCACGTCTTAGACATAATAAATATGATATATAAAACAAACACAATGATATTCATGTGAAAACCAAATTTAAAAAATCCCAAATCTTTTTAGGTAATACAATGCAAAGGAAGTGTTTTTCATTAATATCAGAGGTATAGAGTACAAAATTAGGCCTATTGGCTTGACCACCATTAAAAGAGTTTGAAGCTCTATGAAAGAAAAGATAAATTATAATTGTCTACAAAATAGGATCCTCAATTTTTTTTTGGGGAAGTTTTACCCCATTTTTTTACGGAGTAAAACTAAACATTTCAAAATAAGGTGGGCTTCTTTTGACAACAACCCATGTAGGCAAGGGCTTACGGTGTTCTGTTTGAAAAATTGATGATTCCTACCCCTAAATCCCCACTTTGCCTCCATCCCGAAAATCAATTGGCGTTTTGGGGTCGGGGACTGCTGGAGTGAGGAGAAGCAGGGTAAGGAGTGTAGAAACCATCAGTTTTTCGAACGGAGCACTATAGGCCCTTGTTGTCATAACAGGACACCCTTTCTTGTTGTGAAAAGAAAGGGGCGTTCAAAATATCCATAGTTTAGTCAAATTTAGTACTGTATTCTACCTTTGATTCAAATTGAAAACAAAGAGAACAATGGCATCCCTTTTTATTAGAGACTTGAAAATAGTCTAAAGTGAATAATACAGTACAACTGAGTAAAAAAAAATGGAACAGGTTACAAAGATACAGTACAACATCAAAGACCAAATTGTTACAAGTATATTTTAGCCAATATACTTCAGCACCACAGTCTAATTTAAAACAAAAAAAAATCATATGATCAAATTGTTTTTTAATCAGTTAGTTAATACCAACCTTTTTTTTATTCTCCTCCAGCTTCGGAAGCGACTGAGGATTCATCGGCACGGCGTGGCTCCAAGAAGCAGCGGCAGACGTCCTCCATCACCTTCATCACTGAGAATTGGGCGTCCGCATCTTTGTACCTTTCTCTGCATTTCTCGTCCATGGCCTTCATCACTGCCCCCAGGCTGGGCATCTGGAAGTTGGGTATTCCGAAAGCCGTGTGGATGTTCAGAACCACTTTCCCATCTGCGCCAGTCAGCGAAGCGATCTCCAGGCTGCTGCCATACGCTTCGTCACCGGCGCTTTTCGTCACGATGTTGGAACCAGACGCTCCTGCACCAACTTTTTTTTAAAAAAAAAAAGAAAAAAAGAAAAAAACGTCAATACTCCGAGAAATTTGAGATTTTGGGTGTGTTTGGTTAGGCGGGGTGTGTGTGGACGGGGGTAGCAGGGCAGGAGGGGGCTAGGGATAANGGGGTGGCGGGTGGTCGGGGTCGGGGCGGGGTGGGTTGATGCATGGCTGTTGGGGCCGGGGGTGGCGGATGAGGGCGAGGGTGGGGAATGAGTGGGAGTTTTTCTTCTTAAACAAACGGAAATCATTTTTCCTTGATGAAAGAAAATATTTTCCTTGGAAAATATTTTCTGCGGGGAAAATGGAATAAAAATTTTCCGACCTTTACCTGAATACTCCAAGATTGCATAATTATCACCGACGCTCGTAGAAATTCAATAATTTTACAATAGTATTCAGTACTGAAAAACGGGAGACTTCGCTACGCAGGGTGAGGTAGCGCATACCTGCATTGGTGCCTGAAACCGGAGTTTCTTTCTGCACGTTCTCGATGGGCTTCATCAATACACGATGACCATTAGATGGCTGTGGGGTGGTAGAAACAGGCTGTTTCCCCTTGTTTCTAGAATCAATCTGCCCATTAGATGACTGCGGCAGTCCAAGAAGTTCATCCCCACCAACACCATCATGCCGTGTCTGCGAAGTCCCAACATTACTGGGTGTTGGCGGTTGACCATCTTGCTGTCTCAAACGAGATCGTTTCAAGGGTCTTTCGGGCTCCTCATTCAAAACCTCTTCTTCCTCTAAATTACCCTCATGCTTACCAATCCACGTGGGAGCACGAAAAGAAAAAGAAGAGGACTCAGCACCCAAGTAGCACAGATAATATTGTACCCAGAAATTAGTAATAACAATGATGCATTGATGATGGCCAAATACCCAACTATAATAAACCACCACAAATTACCTTGAACTGTTCAAATGTTCCATTCAGGGCTAAATCCTTGAACTAACTATAGCAACTCATCAATGGCCCTACACTTTTGACATTTGTTTTGAGGTAAATGACCGTAAAATTTTTTTAAAAAAAGTCGTGATCCACTTTTGGAATTTTGTTTGTGCTGACACGATTAGATATGTGAATACAGTAGTGAGTAGTGATAAAACTAGTTGCATTGGAACACAAAAAACACATTTTAATTCAATTTTTTTAAATACAATTTGGGTCGATTTATATCTATAAATTAATAATGTGTGTTGGGTGCAAATAATCTGACCATAGCTCACAGCTTTCTTCTTGTCCCTAAAGTAAAGCAGGGTTTTTTTTTAAGTTCAAGATTGTTATTCAGCTATTTCAGTTAGTCCATGCTCATAAATGTTTTTCTTGAGATTTCAAGTTCATTTCTGGGTATTTGGCCATTCAATGATAGCACGTAAGCAAGACGATCAGGGAAGTGCTTACTACAACACTGAGAGAAGATTTCCCGCGCTTTGCTGCCTATAAGAAGATGACAACAACAATAAAAAAATCGCAAATATTAATTGATGCAATTAACAAAGAGAAGATTAGTGAAAGAAGATAGCCAAAAAAACTAGACCAACCTCGGCTTCCTCATATTCAAAAATTGCATCAAGAAGGGATCTGTAATTCTCCTCTTCGATGAGATCCCAGTTTTTGTTATAAATCTTCAGAAGACGTTTCAATACAGGCTTCACTTTTTCTTCAGAGATCCCAAGAGCTTTCGTAGCACGGAAGGCATTCACAATCCTATTCCTCGAATCCGGACCCATTCCTCACCCTAGCAAACTCTCACAGAAGAATCAAATTCCCAAGCAACCTAAATCTTTCCACAACCAAAAAGAACACAGAGAAATATATGAAATCATATCCGTGTATGAAGACGAGTTTCATAGATAAGAACAATCTGAACTGACTCCAGATAAACACAGCAGAGCAGAAATAGCAATTACTCACACTGCACTAAGCCAAGAACAGATCTCGGAAGACGACTATGGATGTTTCTCTTCCAACTACCGAGTTCGAACACTATTTTCTTCAAAATTGAATCTCTATCCTTCCTACATTAACTTGCAACATAAGGCCCTCATTCTGAAACAGAGTGAAAATTATATACAATGAGGCATGCAAAATATTCCTAAATGCCAAAGAGTAATCCCAATTCACACATAAACACTGAAAAGAAGCAAATAAACGATCATTCATGTCTTAGCAGAAATTCCCCTTTTCAAAGCCTTCATGGAATCTATCAATCGCATGATTATAAATACAATCAATTGCGCAGAATACCGAATCAAATTTGTAAAATCCAGACCTAGAAATCGCGGATTGAAAATTGGGGCGAAACGGAAGCTAAATTGTCCAGATTCAAATCAGTCTGAATTATCGATCGCAAATGCCTTGCAGTGGCTCCAGAAATATGCGGAGTAGAAAAAACCGGTCCTCGACGGAAAAGAACGGAACAGAACTCCCCGTTTAAGATCTCGTTGCATCCATCCGGTTAGAAGATGACGAGAGATTCTTCGAGTCGAGACAGGCTATGAAAGAATGAGAGAGAGATAGCAGAGGGAGAGATATTCTGCTGCATACCGTACTTCACACCATAGTTTTAAAAACCGGACCGGACCGGCCGGTTCGGACCGTAAACCGGCAAACCGGTGGTCCAACCGGTCCGGTCCGGCCCTTTGGACCGTAACACGCATTGAACCGGTGCGAACCGGCCGGTTCGACCGGCTGAACCAGTTTTTCTTTTTTTTTTTTTTTTTTGCGATTTTTTCCAAAACATGCAACCATGGGGATTTGAATCTAAGACCTCTTAGAAATTTAGTTGAGATTCTAACCATCCAAGCAAGGATGTTTTTTGTTACAAGTGCACTTAATCTTTTATAATATTTCATAATTAAAAAATGATTGTATAATTTTTTTTTTAATTTTAAAAATATAATATTATATAGCTATAAATCAACCACAATATCATGATACTATTGATATTATTACAAAATGAATATCATGAAAAAATTTCATTTAGCATTTTTAGTATTAAACAACTTATTTGGAAAAATAAAATCAAGTCTTCATTTATAAAATTTTAAATATTCTTTTCCTAATATTTAAATTTTATTTCTTAACTTAGTAAAATAATTCAAATATTTTAATATAATTTTAGTCAAATGTTATAAATTACTTAATTTAGATATTTATAAATGAGAAAGTGTGTGTGTCTATATGTATGTGTTTATATATATATATATATATATATATATATATATATATATATATACATACATACATACATATATACATATATATATACACATATATACATACATATATAAACAGTCTCAGAATCCTATAAAATCCTGGTGACAAAATACATTAAAATTCATCTAATTCTACATAGATTTAAAACAATCTATTGATTTTACAGAATCCATGAATTCTAAATAATTTATCAGAATCTTTTATAATCGTTTTTTAGTTTTTTTCAATTTCAGTTTTGTTACTCATATTTTTTTTTGTTTTCAGTTTTTTACTTTTTTTCATGTTTTATTAACTATTTTTGTTCTTTTTAAATCAAACTAAACTTACTCTCATAAAAAAAGTGATCTTTTTCAGGTAACGGCGCCAAAATTTGGTAGGCAAAATTTGGTAGGCATGTCGTAGCACCTACAAATTAATTTATTATTTTCCTTAACTCTTAACCCCCTTTATGAATTAATATTCATTAAAACATTTAGATAGAGCAAGTAAGGATTGATCCCACGAAGAAAGATATACTTTTAAACTTATGAAAATCAATTCACTTGTCACTTTTATTGAATAAAAACTAACACTAAATCTAAAAACTAAAACTAAAGGATATGGGGGATTTGAAAAATAAATTCAAAAGGATAAAAATGCAAATAAAATAAGAATAAGGATAACATATAGGAGATGAAAGATAGAACCACAATAGCAAGCTCGAAACTCAGAAATAACACTCATGGAGGAGAATAAACACATAAAACAATCACACATTTAAACTCTATGAAACGTAAACAATAATAATTAACTTAAACCACTTTGAAAATTCTTATAGTTTTTAATATAAAATAAACTGAACAAATCTGATTAATTAATTAATTATGCCTTGATCCCAAAATTAAATTGCTAATTAAACTCGGGATTATGCTAAAGAAGAGGTCCACCAACGACTCTTCCCTATTTTCTCATTTATATTAGCTCATGTTAAGACCAACCCTAAATCTAGACCATATTACCCTTAGCAATTCAAAGACCAACCCTTAATTTACTACTAAGAATAGCACATTAAGACTTGTGAAAGACATCACCATAACAACTTTGCAGTTACACTACGGTTATTTAACAGAATCAGCTCGAGAACCTTGATTAGCAAAACTTACTAGATGAGGCAGCCGAGTACTAATCAAGTGACACTTAGTTTTTAGAAAAGTTTGGTTATTTAAAGCACTTTAGACTTTAAAAAAATATCATTTTAAAAGGAGTGCACTCCTAATTTGACCCAATTTAAGCATAAACGAAGAACAGTTCTCGGAATATCCTTTCGAGTTTAAATTTAACAGTACCGTAAAGCTAAAATGCCTTCGAAGTCAAATTACTTCAACAAACAAAGATTCAATCTTTTTGTCAAACAATTTGGCCTAAGAAGGATTTATAATTTCAGAGATAATAATAAATTAATAAACCAAATTGGAACATATTCAACATCAACACACAAACAAACCAACACTTATAATATAAGTTAACATTCAACACAAAAACAAGAATTCAAAATAATCATATTTAATATTGAATATCAAATTCATCAATTTTGAAATTAAACAAATTCAAAATCCTAATTCAAAAAGAATTTATCTTTGGAGGGAATACTATATTATGAAAAAGAAAAAACGGCCCAACAAATGTTTAAAAAAACAAGTCTGCTTAATTATTTAATAATAGATATACATATTAAATTTTTTATCAATAAGTAAATCATGATATATGCTATAAATTGCTTAATTATTTAACTAAATTTAATAATATTAGACGAAAGTAATTCCACTACGTATGAAAAGGAAAAGAGTAGATTTGAACCCATTATTTGATGGGTCTGATATTTAATACAAAAGCGTGTAACATATAAAGTGTAATCACAAATAAATTATTTTAAATTAAATATTGCATAAAAAATTGAGGTGTAACCGCTAAATAAGAAAAAAGAGGAAAATGTTAGGCGTTTCCGGACTCTAAGGTCATGTGTTATGGAGGGTTTGACGGATTGTAAAGATGTACTCCCTCCGTCCCACAAAATCTTTCTCTTTTCTATTTTCATCCGTCTCAAAAAGTATTTCTCATTTCTACAAAAACAATCACTTTTACTCCTACTAATTATTAACCTACCTATCACATCACATTTTTTTCATTATTAATCTACCATCATATCATACTTTTACCACAACACATCCAAGGACATTTTTGGAAAGTCAATACCAAAATACATTCCTCATAAGTCCTTTAAAAATTAAAATAAGAAACGTTTTGTGGGACGGAGGGAGTATGATTTGAAGTGATGAAAAATGTGTGTTATGATGAGTGTAAAAAGATGTGATGAGATTTGAATGTGTGTTAAATTTCAAATTCGTTGAAATTTAAAAAAAAGGAGAAAGGGAAGGGCCACGCCCCTCCACTCAATCTCTGGCGCCATGTCACGCCGCGAAGGAGGCGTGAGGGAGGTATAAGTGACACCCTCACTCACGCACGATAACATACGGTCTAAATAAAAGAGAAGAGAATTAGAGTCGTCTTGATATTCTTTCTCATTTATGATAGTGAAAAGGTTAAATCTTTATTTATAGGAGATAGAAAAACTCTAATGCTAACTCTATCGACTCAGGAAATGCAACGAGGTAAAAAACTGCAAAAAACTCTCGGGGGATCGTATAATTCCGTTCATCTAATAAAAAATATATTACAATAAATATTAAATACTAACTAATTACTCCGTAATAAATACTAATTAGTTAATAAGTACTAATTGATAAATAATTAGTTAAATAACCTAGTCCACCATTCGTATCGGACATTATTAAAAGCCTCTCTAACATGTGCAATAAAAAACAACTTCGTGAAATTAAAGCTTTCCAAAATATATACTCCCTCCGTCCAATATCTCTTTCTAATTTGACTTTTCACGATATTTAAGAACAAGAACATAATTGCACATACATAAAAAACAATATAGGAATTGAGAGGATAACATTAAATACTAGGATAGGGAGCATGGAAAGAAACATGAAAATCAATAGTAAATTACTTGTTTTCAATTCTTCGAAACTTGTTGTCTTTGGTGATGGACTAATTCCCTTCCATTTCATTTTTGCCTTGATCTGCCTTAATATGTTGTTTTGCTTGTTTTAGGGTCTGAATAAGATTTTCTAGGCGTCTGTCTCTATCGTCCACACATGATTTGGGCATGAGATTCTCGATAACATCCACAGGTGTGATCATAGTCTCCCTCATCAGAACCTCTATCGATTCAAACAAGGGATGATCTTCCAATTCTAGGTAGTTTCTTGCTAACACTTTAAATCCCTCAAAAGTACAATAAGACAGCTCGATGTGCTTGTCCATTCTCCCCCTCCTCGTTAAAGCGGGATCTAACTTCTCGACATGGTTGGTGGTGAACACAATTACTCGTTCTCCACTACATGTAGACCATAAACCGTCTATAAAGTTCAACAATCCAGAGAGAGTGACCTTGCTTGGACCCCTACCCCCACGAGCTCTCGAGAGAACAGAATCTTCATTGGTCTTCTCAATGTTGACTTCTAAGCTTTTGTTTCTACTTTCGGTAATATCAAGCGAACAATCAATGTCCTCAATGACAACGATCGATTTACTCGTTGTTTCTGCCAATAGCTCTCTGAGCTTGGTGTTGTCACTAACCGAAGTCAACTCAAGATCATAAATATCGTAATTGAGAAAGTTCGCCATTGCAGCGATCATAGTTGATTTTCCTGTACCGGGGGGCCCATAAAGTAAATACCCGCGCTTCCAGGCTTTACCAATCTTTGCATAGTAATCCCTACCCTCTTTGAACGCAATCAAATCATCCAAGATCTCTTTCTTCTTGCCTGCATCCATCGCTAGTTTCTCAAAGCTAGCAGGATGATCAAACACGACATGGCTCCACAACGCCTTGCCCGAGACATTGTTTGTGTAAAGCTTAAGCGGTTTGTATCGTCCTAGAATCTCCTTCCCCTTCCTCACTACGTGATTCAAGTAGGAGTCCGCCATCAAGTCCCTATATTTCTTGTGAAAAATGAGCTTGTAAGATCGGTTCTCCACCTCGGGATACGAATCCTTCGAAAGGCGTGGTTGAAGTTTGCACGCAACCCACTGCACTTCCGCCCCACGGAACTCATCATCAATCCTCTCATGCTCATCCATGCTCAAAGCCAGAAGCGGCTTCCCATCCGGCGTCGCGTCATTATTCACCATCTCCGCCTTGAGTCTGGAGGCTTCTTTCACCGACATGGCGCCGAGATAGGCCTCCACCGCCGCGTACGCGGTGTGAGGCGTCATGTTCCTCTTGATGTACTCGTGGATGGAGATTTGAACGTAGGGGTTGAAGAAGATATTCACCTTCTCCGACCACCGGTTGAGAAGGCGGAGGAGGCCGACCGGCAAATGCCTCCGTACCATCCTCAAGAAGAAGAGGAAGGTAGCAACGCCACCGCCGGCGGTTCCCCACCTCTTCAAAACTCGCTCCATCGAAAGATTTGGTTTTTTTCTCTCTTTCTATTTTACTCACTCTATATTTAAATTTATGCAGTTGGTTTCTTTCAATATATTTGATGACTATTTTCCAATAATTTATGTGATATATATATAGAGAGGTATTTATTGTTCCGTATATATTCGAACTTTTATTTCAAACCTAGCCCTAACATTTTGGATCTTTTACTATGCTTTATGATAATACGCAAGCACTTACATTTATGATGTGAACACGATGAGCTTTCTTTATTTGAATGTCTCAAAATAATTTTCACTTGCAACTTAATTACACTAGCTCAAAAAAGAAAAAATATATTATCAACTTTATTTCTCTTTCATATGTATAAATTAGCATTATATACTTTTATTTTATTTTTATTAAACTTTATAAAAAATCAAATCACAATGTTAATTCTAAAAGTCAAACTTAATTAGTTAATTAATTAATTAATTAATACTTCTTCGTCTCTATAAAAACTTCATGTTTCATTTTTGTGCATTCCTAAATGCACTTCTATACATATCTATAATGTCGAAGATTTACCTTATTTTTCTTTTATTACGGTAGAAATTATTTTGAGAGTATTTTAAATATATTAGATGGTATAGAATTATTTTATGAGATGCGTAAAAAATGAAGCGAGAAGTTTTTTTAGAGACGGGAAAGATGAGTTTTCAATTACTAGATCATCCTTATAATCTCTCAACACCAATTGAATTTAGATAATTTAATTTTATTGAAAAAATAAAAAAAAAGAATAATTGCAATATGTTCATACTTAATTTCTTTTTAACCTAGCCCTAACATTTTAGATCATCTACGATACCACGCAAGCACTAACGTTTAATACGTAGAATATGTTGCCCTAAAGGCAACAAACTTTCCTTTACGTTTTTTCAAGACAACTGTCCTTCATTTCCTATATCGTCCTTACAAAAATATTTGGAAATTTTTTATTTTTTTGACTTTTTAATGCAAAATCATTAAGTCCATGATTGCATTCGGGTCAATTCACAAAATTCTTCATCAAAATTTAAATATTTACAAATTAGAAATTGTAATTCACCGTTTTTGCACAGACATCTGCCGTTTTTCATGCTTTAATTTGGTGATTATATTTGCATTTAAATCTTCATTGTCTAGATCTTCTCATGCTCTTTTAACACCTTGATCTTCTTTGTTACAATCATCTTTGCATAAAGTTGTGTCTTTTAGAATATCACCCTATGAACTTTTTATGTACGATTGCGTAACTGAAAACGTAGGAAGTAAGTTTTCTCTCATTCATATTTTCTTATTTTCAGGCAATAAATAGAGTGAATTATAACACAATATATATAAGTATAAACTGAGTACGTAAATGGTAAGCTACACCTTACGAAAAATGGTAAGTTACAGTAGTATAAACTTATTTTAATTAAAATAGTAAGTTAAGTTACAAAGATAAAGTACCAAAGTCATATATACTAAATCTTTTTTTGTAATTTATTTATTTTAAATATTTGATCATTTAAAAATACAGTCAAGTCATATGAAAATACTTTTATTTAGTATCATAATTAGCCTTACCATAAATAAAATTTTTAGGTATCTTGAATTAATATTAGGATTGAGTCAACCTCAGCTCATAGTATTCGTATTGACACATATCGGCCCTGTTTAGGAACAGCATTAGAGTTTAGAGTCAGAGATTAGAGTTAGAGATTAGGGTTAGCTATTAGCTGTTAGCATCAGAGTTAATGATTAGCATTTTGGTTTTTTATCGTTTGGTAATTGAGTTTTTTTGAAAGTTAATAAATTCCAAATTACTAAAATACCCAATTGAATTTACACAATTTAAAGTTTAAAAATTAGCTGAGTTTAATATTATTGGTGTGAAAATTACTCTATACTTTTAATCAATTATAATTGTCGTTACATCGAGAAAATCACCTCGTTTTCAACTGATTTTACAAAAAAACACACAGCATTTTTTTTTATATAGAGCATTACATCAATTAAAAAGAAAAAGAGAGACCATTACAAATACAAATCGGATAGAAATGATTTTTTCTAAAAAATTAAAATCAGCCCAGCAATTTTACATTATACCCAAATGGGCCCTAATCCACACCTACTTTGGCAGCAAGTGGCGGGTTTCCTTCCTCGTTTCCTCCACTGCGCCGGAGATCTTTTTACTTGTAAAGTTATGCCATTAAATAATACAGAGCAAATGTATTGATGAAATTCTCGAACCTGTATTGATGGGTAAAAGAGTAAAATCAATCTCAAATGCTCAATTTTGTGCTAGAACGCTGGTAGCCTGGGCGTCTTGCGTTTAGCGCTGCGGAAGAATAGGGAGGTATAACGCAGACGAAAAACACTGGTAATCAATGTTGGAAATTTTAAAGTAAATTGGACTTTTTCGGACATAAATTTGGTTGGGTCCACAAAATTATTTTCAAAATAATTATGGACGATTAATCTCGTAAGTAAGACGAACGTCTTGATATATGACACGTCATAAACGGTGCTCGGGTGAATGAGAAATTAATTCTCAAAGTTGAATGCTAAGGTAGAGTAAATGCCTTTGTCCCACACCGGTTTCTAAACCTTTCGTATTCTCATATTTAAGCTTAGGCTTAAAATTGAGCTTATGAAAGGAACAAGAAGAGGACTCCTCGCGCGCCCGCCGCCGCCATCGTCTGCTCGGCACGACACGCGCGCGTCGCATCGGGGCGCAGCGCGGCGCGCTCGCCTCTGCGGCCTGGCTTAATTTTTACGAGAACGAATCATTCACGCGTGTACACTTCGTTAATAACGAAGCGTATGGAATTGAAGCATGCATGCACTAATGGTGAAGAGTCTCTTGACTCTTCGTAATGTCCGTCACTTGCAAGTGAAGAGTCCAAACTCCCCTCCTATAAAAGGAGGGGCTCGCTGCAGGGATAAAAAAACACTCGAAAACTCTCTCTCTGTCTCTGCATTCCAAAAGTTCTGATAACTCCCCAACTCCGGTCATCTTCTCCGGCAGTAACACCCCTCGTTCTCGTTCGTCGGTGCACGGTTCTACCGCTCTAGGCCTTGCACGAAGCGGTTTTATCTTGGGAGGAGATTGCCCACGTTTACCAGTGCGGGAGGCGGGCAATACTACCTTAAGGAAAGCTTCGGCGACTCCGCTTTCCTTATCTACGGTTCTAGAAATATCTCCGGCATCCCTTTGTTCTCCGTTCGAGCTCCCAAAGACTCCAAGTTTTATTTCCTTTTATTTTTGTTGTAATATAAAATCCGAACGTTTTATAAGTTCGGATTTTTTTATTTTTATTTTTCCCGGTGTAATATTCAACAATCAATCGGAAAACAAACACCTAAAATCATAGCCTGCAGCTTTTTATTAATAAAAAGCTAATCCCAAACGCAACCATCATTTCTTAGAACATATAGCCTTAAATATAATTTTAAAGCATTTTTGTGTTTTAGTCACCTATTTATGATTTACTCCGTATAAATTTTTTTAGTAATTCAAAATGACCCTTTCTAATAAGATATTTTTTCAAATAATCAGTGTTAATTAAGCATTAATTACCTATGCGTTACTTTATAATTGAGATTTATTCAGTCAGTGATCCTCCGTATAAAATGTCTATTAAATATAAGTTCAGTATATGGTATTTTGGTATGTTTAAAAATCTAAACATGGAATAGGTTCTCAGAATGACCCTTTCTAATTATTTTTTTCCAACTTTGTTAGAGAACATCCCATATCAGAAAATCTAAGAGTAAAATAATCGGTATATAAGCTCTAGAGTTGAACTAACTAATCGATTGGATTCAATCTTTTAATGTGGTTCAACCCAAGTGTCTTATTGCCCAATCCAGTTGTCTCTACCCAATCCTAAATTCTATCATGGTATCAGAGCCAGTTTTAGCCCATTTCGTTTGTCAAGGTATCCGTCTAGATGTTCATTCCTAGCGGCCCGTTAGTCTTTTGCCCAGTTGTCCGTATGAAGGTTGTACCCAACGGCCTGTGGCCTGTTTAACACGATTGCTAATCTGGAAGTCCATATCCAGCGGCTCGTGGTCCTTTACGTGTTGGCGCTCATAAAAAAAAGTCAAGGGAATGGGAGTTCATTTGCAAGCTAAGTAATCAACCGGTTAGATTCAAAATGGCCCGGTTGTCCACTTGAGGGGCAGTGTTAGAGTACATCCCAAATCAGAAAATCCAAGAGTAAAATAATCGGTATATAAGTTCTAGAGTTGAACTAACTAATCGATTGGATTCAATCTTTTAATGTGGTTCAACCCAAGTGTCTTATTGCACAATCCAGTTGTCTCTACCCAATCCTAAATTCTATCAAACTTAGCCCTCATGCATGATTATAACTATAAGTTTATCCCGTTCATTCTGGGACACTCCAATGTTTCATGTCTCTCCTTTAGCCTCCAACGCTCACACAAGTGAATTGCGAATAGGGATGATCTCGCCTCCAGTCCTCCACTTCACCACTTCAGGTGTATGCAGAATTTCGATAAAATGCATGTATGAAAAATATTTGATTTATTTTTTGAAAATATTTTTATGTTATATATATGACAGGCGGATATACTTTTTTTGTGCTTTTTAAAAAATAGTTGTAATTTCAATGAAGTCAAAATTAAAAAACCTTTGATTATTTTAATATTTTCTATGAATTTTTCTTTGTTAAAACCCATGCATCTATACTTATTCTTGCTTATTAAAATTAAATTCATATCAAGTGTAGGAAATTTAGGGTCTAAAAAACATGTGATTATTTTTACGTGATAATTTTTTAAATTTTTTATGTGAAAACAATGTAACTACATTTCTTTCTTTACTTTTATGAAAATAAATTCATTTCACAATTCAAATGTGACTATAATTTTGTTTCTTTTTTGGAAAAATAAATTTGTTTTTTCTTTTTTACGAATTGATCTTTTTACCCATGTATTTTTTAAAATTTTTTGTTTGAAGTCATAATTGCTTTTATATTTGTGCATTATTAGTAAAGAATGTGATATTGAAGTCAAATTTGAGTGTAGTTACTTGAATTACTAGATACTTGATTTGCAGTTGGTTTTTGCTTCGAAGTGTATTGAAGTCATTGTGAAATTGAATTACATTGTGTATTGGTGGAGAATGTTACTTTTTTTCTTTGAAGTGTATTGGAGTCATCGTATATTGTTTGTTTGATGCTACATGATTGAGTAGTTGTAATTAAATTAGGAATTTAACATATATTGACCGACCTAGATACACATTTAAAACTTACTCATTATGAGTAAATTTTAAATGACTTTTAGTTGGGTTGTTCTTGAATTGCTTACCTCACGTAGGTGGTGAATGTAATTATTTTTCTTTGTTCCAATAATTTTCGATTCAATAGTACTTTTCTGTAGAGGTGTGTAGATTTGATTCTGTCCCAAATTAAGTTGCATGTTTTCATTTGATAAAACAATATAGTTATGTCAACTTTTATTTTGTACTCCCTCCGTTCCTGAAATATTTCTCATTTCTTTTTTCATCCGTCCCAAAAAACACTTCTCATTTCTATTAAAAAGTCACTTTTACCCCTTACTTTTTCATATCCTACCTATCACATCATACCTTTTTACTAATAATCTATCGATCAAATCATACTTTTACCCATCATATCAAAGGACATTTTTGGAAATTCAATACCAAAATACACTCCCCTTAAATCCCTCTTCAAAATCAAAACTCCCATGTTTTCTGGAACGGAGGAAGTATAACTTTTGATGTAGTTTTTTAATATGTAAATTTTATTTTATATTTATAGTCAAATTTTATATAAATTGTATTAATAAAAACTTCAATTAAACACCGCAAACCGAAACGAGTGATTAAAATTTGACCAGAGGAAGTAGTGGTTTTTAGGTTGAAGATGTCTCTAGGCTATATACATACATACATACATACATACATACATACATATATATATATATATATATATATATATATATATATATATATATATATATATATATATATATGTAAACCTATTCATAATTAAAATCGATTTTTTTAAAGTAATCTAATTTTAATTTTAAAAAATAGTCCAGTTACAACAAGTCTCAACTTTCTCCCCCCACTCTTCAATTTTCATTCTTTAGTTAGCTAAATATTACACAACATATTTTTGATAATATGATTCAGTTATGTTTATTTTTCTTTATGTCCCAAATTATTTGTCACATTGCGTAAAAGAAAGTGAAATATCAATTTTTTTGAATTCATTTTATTTTAAGATTGATTTAGAAATAAAACTAAGATTCATATATTCTAAAATTACATTAAAAGTTCTTCAAAACAAGAAGTGACAAAAGTAATTTATTTTATAAAATTAATAGATGAAAACATACAAATAAGTTTTATTCTTATTAATTAATGAGTTTTATTTTATTGATCATTTTATTTAAACAAAAAAAAAGTGTACCATACGTCTTATTTTTCTTTTTTTTCATCTTATTTATTTATTTGTTCGTTTTCAATCTTTATTGTAAACAATTAAACAAAACAAGTGAATAAAGTAAGAAATAAATAAATAAATAAATAAATAAATAAGATGAAAAAAACAAAAAAATAAGATGTATGATATGGTACGCTTTTTATTCTTTAACTAAAATGATCAATAAAATAAAACTCATTATTTAATAAAATAAAATAAGTCAAACTAAGAATAAGTGAAACATAAAAAGAGAAGAACCCACAAAAAAAGAAAGAATCCAAATGTCAATTAATTTTTTTTACTTCATTTTTATGAAAAAAATAAAATATATAAAAATAAAAAAAACCAAAATTATTGATCATAAACAAACAAAAATAAGACAAAACAACATAAAAAAAAAGTAAACCAAACAACAACACACGACAGCTCTTAACAAAATAGATAAAAAAAACCTTACAAAAAAAACTTTCATGTATTTTTTGAAAAGATTTTGGAGTTTAGGTATCAAATTAAAATTTTCGTGAAAGTTTAGACATCATTCTTGAAATTTATCCTTATTTTGTCTCATTCTGCATCTTTGAATCCTCATACCGAATTGAACCTGACGAAAAGTCAATAAATAATTTTTCCCTAAAGGCTAAATGGCGGGAATGCTTGAGTATATGTTGAAATTTACAATGCCGTGGGGTGAAAACTGAGTGTGAATTATGATGAAGCATATGTTCTCCAATATATGCAGACCTTAATGTGTTGAAAATGTCAACATATTTGAAATATCAATAAATCTATATATATATATATATATATATATATATATATATATATATATATATATATATATATATATATATATATATATATATATATATATATATATATATATATATATATATATATGTATATATATATATAAAGGGGCCGGTTCCCGTGAGAATGCACCTTGTGGAGAGAAATGAGAATAAAATCTAGCCGTCGGATCTGAAGCATCGTGCAGCTCAGATTGCATCCTGCACCCAGATTTTGAGATAGTGCATTTTCGAAGGTTTATGGTGCATTTCGACGTGATGCATTTTCGCACCACTTTGGTGCATCTAATATTGATGAAATCTTGACCCTTAGATCTCACAATCTAAAGCACCAGATTCATTCTCATTTCTATCCTAAGATTGCATTCTCACCAGAACCAAATTCCTTCTATATATATATATATATATATATATATATATATATATATATATATATATATATATATATATATATACTCCTTCCGTCCCAAAAAGATTTACACCTTTCAAAAAAATTGTGTCCCACAATCTCATACTCATTTCTATTAAAAAAACCACTTTTACCTCTTACTTTTTCAAACCTACCTATCATATCATACCTTTTTCCTAATAATTTACACATCACATCCTACTTTTACCCATCACATCAAGGGTATTTTTGAAAAGTCAACACAAAATTATCCCTTCCTTAATTTCTACTTTAGTAAAAATGGATAACACTTTATGGGACGGAGGGAGTATATAATTATTTTACTCTTAAAACTTACGATGTGGGATGCACTTTAACACTTCCTCTCAAGCAGACAACCAGTGGATCGGTACCCGGTGGTTGAGGGATATCAATACTCCAATTTTATATCTCTAGAGTTTGAAGGATATCCAAACGTTCTTTAATTGGTTGTTGGAAGTATTAAATCCGAAACATACTCGGTATTTAGGTTTCAATATCAAACACGATAAAAGAGTTGGCAAAAGATCAGACCTCGTGGTCCAATAACACTAAGGTGACTCTTCTAAATGAAAGGTCATGGGTTCAATTCTAAGTGTTATAATAGATTTAAAATATATATACAAACAAATACTACAATTTTCATATGAGTATATGAGGTCCAGAAAAAAATACATAAACAGAGATGTTATTGATTAAATTATTATATCAAGACCACAAAATGTTAAATAAAGATGAAAAAAGATTCTTACCAAGACTCCCTCTGGGATCAACATACCTAGATTTTCAAAATCAAAATATAGTGTATAATGATTATTAATGAGCACTTAGGTAGTTTCTTAGAACCTCTTGGGACTGCGTGTACTCTCACCCAACCACCGGGTAAATTTTTTTAAAAGTTTTTACACTCATCTATTATTTAATTCCAACTAAAATTGAAGAGACCTTAACTAAAATATGTTTCAATGCATATAATTAATACTACGTATTTTATAAAATAAAATTTTAAATTGTCTATTTAAAAATTCACATTCAAAAAATATTTGAGTAAAATTTATAATTTTTATTTATTATTTTAAATTTTGTATTGAAAAAAAAACTTAGGCGCCCCTGAACCCCGACCTTTGGTGCCCCCAACTATTTGAAATTCTTGATCCACCACTGCGACACCGCTCGCCCGGAGTGAAGACAAAAAATTTTACGTCACCGAAAATGGTAATTTTGACATAGGGAGTACCCTACCGAACAAAGGTGAAGTCAAAATATCATCATTTCTACCGACTTTACCGGATAAAGGGAGTACTTTAGATAGAAATACATTAAATAGGACTAAAATATACTACTTTCGTCCCCGAATATTTGTTCAATTTTGATTTTTTTCAGTCAACTGTTTTCAACATTTGATTTATAATTAAATAAAATATATATTGTAAATTAATTAGATAAAATAATATTATGAAAATATTTTATAGAATAGATCTAATAAAACTTTTTTTATATCAATATCTAATATTATTTTGATTTAATTTGAGGTCAAAATTTACCGAAAAAAATCAAAAGTGGACAAATGTTGAAGGAATGAGTGAGGAATACTTCGAATCTTAAGAAAAATCATAAATAGAAAGAACCCAACTGGTTAAACTAAAAAATACGGAGTATAGTGAGTAATGTGAAGGAGAAGGAAAAAAAAAAGATATCTTTGGATGGAGCGAGCTTTGAGGAAGTGGGGAAACGCCGGCGGCGCCATTGCTAGCTTCTTCCTCATCTGGAAAATGGTCCGGAGACATTTGCCGCTCGGCCTGCTCCGCCTTCTCAACCGGTGGTCGCGCAGGCTGAGCGTCTTCTTCAACCCCTACGTTCAAATCTCCATCCACGAGTACATCAAGAAGAACATGAGGCCTCACCCCGCCTACGCCGCCGTGGAGGCTTATCTCGGCGCCAAGTCCGCCAAAGAAGCCACGAGGCTCAAGGCGGAGATACCCAAAGACGGCTCCGCCGCAGATGGTCTCAGCATGGATGAGAACCAGAGAGTTGATGACGTGTTTCGCGGTGCAGAAGTGCAGTGGGTTGCGGGTAAGGCTCAGTCACGCCTTGTGATGACCGATAATTCGGAGTTGATGACGAGATCATATAAATTGATTTTCCACAAGAAATTCCGGAGTTTGGTAATAGACTCGTACTTGGACCACGTAATAAATTCCGGGAACGAAATCCGAGGACGGACTACGAAGCAGAAGCTCTACACGAATGGGCACGGCAGGACGCCGTGGAGCCACATCGAGTTTGATCACCCTGCGAGCTTTGAGAAGCTCGCCATGGATGCAAGAAAGAAGAAAGAGATTATGGATGATTTGATCACTTTCAAAGAGGGGAAGGATTTGTATGCAAGGATAGGGAGAGCGTGGAAGCGGGGATATTTGCTCTATGGCCCTCCCGGTACGGGGAAATCCACTATGGTGGCTGCGATGGCAAACTTTTTGAACTACGATATCTATGATCTTGAGCTCACTTCTGTGAGTGACAACACTGAACTGAGACAGCTGTTGACAGAAACCACTAGTAAATCGATTGTTGTGATTGAAGACATTGATTGCTCGCTCGATCTCGCTAAGAATCGAAAGGAGAACATGGTTAGAAAGACCAATGACAATGCTAAGAAGGGCAGCAAAAACAATAACGGTGAGAGACAAGTCACTCTCTCTGGACTGCTGAACTTCATAGACGGTTTATGGTCTACGTGCACTGGGGAGCGGGTCATTGTGTTCACTACCAATTACGTTGATAAGTTGGATCCTGCTTTAACGAGAAGGGGGAGAATGGACATGCACATCGAGATGTCTTATTGCACTTTTGAGGGATTCAAAGTGCTAGCGAGAAACTACCTCGCGCCGGAGGATCATCCCATGTTCGGATCGATAGAGTTACTGATGACAGATAGTAGAATCACACCTGTAGACGTTGCTGAGAATCTCATGTTCCAATCGCATGAGAAGGATGTCGAGAAACGCCTCGAAAATTTGGTTGAAGCTCTAAAACAAGCAAACGAACAAATTATATCAGATCAAGTCGAACAAGTAGCTGAAGAGAATGAATTCCTCAGAGATGGATAATTCTTTTTCTTATGTTGTGTTTTATATATGACTTAAATGCACGGTTTTGTTGTTGTTGTTGTATTTCATATCCATTATAAATGTTATTGGTACTAATTTGTTAAGACAATTTCATTAAATTGAAGTTTGATTTAGTTTCTTAGAAACCAATGAGGTAAACTATACTCCCTATATATTGTTTTTACAAATTTTCATCTAGCTTAAAAGGTCAAAATAAATGGACGAATCAAAATGAATGGTTTCTTTCTTTCTTGAGTAACTCGCGTGTGGATTGAATAAATCAAAGGGAAAAAAAGTTCCTTTCTTCCTTAAATAGCGCACGACTTAGAAAACAATAACAAAACATATATTCCCTCCCTTCCACTATTTTTGATAATTTATGGACATTGATGATAAAAAATAAAACAAAATAAAAATAAATGTTAGTCTTACAAACATAACCAAATAGAAAAAAGGCATTAGATAAAGGAAGGCTGACTGTCTGTGTTTGAAAAACAACTTTTCGGATACCTTTTGGCATCTTTGACTAACATTAGCTTATTTGACTTATCCAACCACCAAAAACATTGTTTGGCTAATGACTTTTTCACATGACTTTTTGATCCGAAATACCAAAATCCGAAATGCCAAGGGGAGTAACATTTGAACTTGGCTTTTAGAAAGATTATTTTTAATCATTTTTATTGAAAGATATTTTATAATATATGTAAAAAAACAAAAGTAAAAAAATTCAAAAATTAAAAAAAAAGTTCAAAATTTTAAAATTTCAAAAAAAAGATATGAGAAAATCAAAAGTAAAAATTATTAAAAAGTTATATATTAATAATTTCTTATGAATTATATGAAAATGAAATTTTATACTCCACATATTAACAATTTAATTTTTACATATACAAAAATAAAAAATAAATATCGTGTGTGTGTGTGTATCGAAACAACTATTTTCTAACAGCTAATTTTACCAAATATTTTTAACGATCAGCCAACTCATCCTGCCGGTCAAACCAGCTAAATTAAACAGCTATTTAGAACAGCCGATACAAACAGCCAACAGCCAACTGCTAACAACCAACATCCAAATAAGGCCAAAGCCTTTATTTGAGATTAGCCCTTTTTATTAACGTTAGTTAGATAAAATTTTAATGATACAGATTAAATTTGGAAATGTTAAGCTAAAAGCTACCGTTAAATAATTTTTTTTCAAATTGATAATGCTATGCTCTAATGGTGTCACCAAACGGACCCAAAATCGTGAGACAGAGAAAATGATAAAAATGAATAAAAATAATACTTCATCCGTCCCTAAGTATTTGTCTACTTTTGTTTTTTTTTTTGTCAAAATTGATAAACTTTGACTTCAAATTAAATAAAAATGATATTAGATATTGGTACAAATATAGTTTTATTAGATTTATTATATCAAATATTTCCAAAATATTATTTTACCTAATTAATATACAATATATATGTCGTTTAACTATAGGTCAAAGGTTGAAAACGGTTGAATGAAAAAATCAAAAGTGGATAAATACTCAATGACAGAGGTAGTAGAACGGGGTGTGTGTATGAAGTATATGGAGTGATAAATTAGTTGGAATAATATGTTTAATAAGAGTTTTTTGCTTTTTTGTATTGGCTACTTATTACATAATAGAACCAATTTTAACTAACATCAGATACCAAGAAAAATTCAGATCAAAGCTAATCAGATTGAATAAAAAGAACAGACTCCTAGACCTTAGCGCAATGGAAAAATTTCCTACTTTAAATACAACTAAACATACTTTCTCTGTCTCATAAAACTTTTCAAAGACAAAAAAAATGAGTGCTCTAAAATGCGTAATTATTATGTTTTAAATATGTCTCATTTATTCTAAAAATCATATTTTGACTAATTATAAATTAAGGTCAAAATTAAAAAATAATTTTAAAATTACATATTCTGAGAAAAGTATTTTGGTCATACTAAATGGTTTATCAAAATATAAAGAGTTAGAAATTAGAAGTTGTATTTTTTTATATTGTTGGTGGATCTAGATCTTATTTGCTTCTACCCCTTAGATCTTCTCTGCACTTCTTCTTATTTTATTGATTATCCATGCACCTAGATCTCACTGGTCAAAGATCTTCTTGCGCTCCCTTCACACCTTGATTTTTGTTATGATAGTCTTTTTTTGTAAATCTATGTCTTCTCTTTGTTTCTCAGAATATCATTCTATGAAGTTTCTATGTATGACTGCATAAATGAAAAAGGAGGGAGTGAGTCCTCTTTCATTCACATTTTCTTATTTTTTCACATAAAAAATAAAATATTTTTACGCATAAAATTCCAAATAAAGAATGAATAAATCACAATTAAATTAGAGACATGGGGAATATATATTCTCATAAGTATATCAAAGAAAAAACATGTAGGGAGTAATGAATAATACTTCTATACTCCGTATATAGGACCCATAAATTGAAAACATTTGGAGACATAAATATTACTTGAGATAATTTTTGTTAGAGTATGTGTTTTCATCCATCATTTGGTAAAATAAAATAATCATTTTGTTTTGTACTCCCTCCGTCCCAAATTATAATGCTTGTTCACTATTCACAGAATCACATGGTTAAACTTCATTCACTTTTTTTCTCTATTTTCGTTAGCAATTTGATAAAATAAAGTACTATTGTCACTACTAGTTTTGTGGATTTTTTGATGTAATATTTTAATATGTAATTTTTATTTTTTTAACTTTATACCATTTTTCATATAAAATGATTTGAAAATAATTTCAGTCAAACATCGTAAACCGAAACAGGCACTATAAATTGGGAAGGAGGGAGTAAAATTTTAGATGTAATTTTTAAATATATAAGATATATTATTTATTCTCATATCAATTCGTAAATAAAATTATTTTAAAAGATATAAAATTTTTTACATTATTAGAAAAAGAACGATAAATTGGGGAAGGAGGTAGTATTAATTAACGTAGTGTATATATAGAATTTAGAAACCAACTTCTTAAACATAAATATAGCAAGGGAATCGCAAGAGAGTAAATATACCCATTCATATAATAGAGAAATATTAAATAATCAAATAAGGAGAAGTAAATACTTCTATATATTCATCAAAAAAAATTTACTTCTATACATAGGAAATATTCCGAAGGCTACAAAGCACATAAATCCTTAAGGACTCCATGAACCTAAATATAGCGAGGGAATTGCAAGAGAGAAAGAAAGTATTTCTATCAATGGAGCTAATTTTGAAGAGGTGGCGGAACGCCGGCGGAGCCTTGGCTACCGTCCTCTTCATCTTGAGAATGGTACGTGCATACGTGCCGAGTAGCGTGGTGCGTCGTTTGGCGCAGAAGTTGGGCGTCTTCTCCAACCCCTACGTTCAAATCTCCGTCCACGAGTACATCAAGCGGAACATGACCCCTCACGCCGCCTATGTAGCGGTGGAAGCTTATCTCAGCTCCAAGTCTGTGAAACAAGCCACCAGACTCAAGGCTGAGATAGCCAATAATAATGCCGCTGCTGCTTCAGATGGGAAGCAGCAGCTGGCGTTGAGCATGGATAAGCACGAGAGCGTCTGTGATGAGTTTTGTGGGGCGAAAGTGAGTTGGGTTGCGTGTAAAAGTCCACCACGTCAGACGAAGGAATGGTACCCTGGGATGGAGGGTAGATCTTACAAGCTCATTTTTCACAAGAAATATCGGGACTTGATGGTGGAGTCCTACTTGAACCACGTGATGAAGACGGGGAAGGAGATTTTGGGACGAAACAAACCCCTAAAGCTTTACACAAATAGTGTGTCGGGAAGGACGTTGTGGAGCCATGTCGCGTTTGATCATCCTGCTAGTTTTGAGAAACTCGCGATGGATGTGGCGAAGAAGAAAGAGATCGTGGATGATTTGGTTGCGTTCAAAGAGGGGAGGGATTTCTACGCAAGGATCGGTAGAGCCTGGAAGCGCGGGTATTTACTCTATGGTCCACCGGGAACGGGGAAATCGACTGTCATCGCAGCAATGGCGAACTTTCTCAATTACGATATCTATGACCTCGAGTTGACTTCGATCACAGACAACACAAAGCTCAAACAGCTATTGGCTGAAACAACGAGTAAATCGATCATCGTAATTGAGGACATTGACTGCATGCTTGATATCACGGAAAATAGAAACAAGATCTCGGCGCGAACCCTTAAAGTCAATATTGGGAAGGGCAACGAAGAATCTCCTCCCTCGAAAGCCCGTGGGGGTAGTGGTCCAAGTAAAGTCACTCTTTCTGGATTGTTGAACGCCATGGACGGCTTATGGTCTACGTGCAGCGGAGAACGAGTAATTGTGTTCACTACCAACCACGTCGAGAAGCTAGATCGATCCCGCTTTGACGAGAAGGGGGAGGATGGACAAGCACATCGAGTTGTCTTATTGCACTTTTGAGGGGTTCAAAGTGCTAGCAAGAAACTACCTAGAATTGGAAGATCATCCCTCGTTTGAATCGATAGAATTACTACTGAGGGAAACTAAGATCACGCCTGCAGATGTTGTCGAGAATCTCATGCCCAAATCGGGCGAGGATGATGCAGAGCGGCGTCTCGATGCTCTTATTCAAGCTCTAAAACATGCAAAAGAACATAAAGATAAAAAAGAAGAAGAAACCAAAGAGAATGTGTCCATCAAAGACAACTAGTTTAATTTCGAGAATTGCAAACAACAAATTAAGTTGTATAATTTGCCAAAAATAAATCCACTGTTAATTTTCATGCATGTTGCACTTTTCAATAACAATATTCTGTAGTTTATTATGTTATTCTCTCAATATATTCCTTTAGTGTTTTTATGACTGGTGTGATGATTTAGTGCGAATATAATTATCTTATACTTGTGTGACTTGTGTGTTTTTCATTCAATTTATTTAATAATTGGCGTAAAATTAAAAAAACAAAATTTATATATTTAAAAAGTAAATAGATCTAAAGTTTAACAAAACAAGAGGTGACCTTACTATACTATCTTCGTCCACAAATTAACTTTCCATTCCGAACAACATGCAAAATTTCATCTCTGTTAAAATTATTTTTCAAAAAATACAAATTATATACGGAGCATTTCAAAAGAATATTAAAAGTTCTATGAAACAAGATTTGACACGAATATTTTATTTTATCAAATTATCAATGATAACACACAAATAAACAAAGTTATTCGAGAGGCCAGCATAGTAACCGGGAAGTTAATCTGTGAACGGATGGCGTATTATTTTATCAAATGCGTAAAAGGCGGCGAAATGTTTACCATTCATAGCTCGTAATGCACAAATAAACATACTTACCTTACCCCCAACAAAGCTTGGGAATAGAACCTCCTTGTTCTTATGAACAATGAGAGAGCAACAAGGAAACCAAACAACGTCACCGAAGCGAGTATGAAATATGACAACATGAAGCATCGAGTCCCAAAGCACGAACTTTCGTGCCCGCGTGATGATGCTTCTCTATCGTACAAATACCCAATGACTCTCACCGAGAGCACGTAAGATCCAACCGGGCTGGCTATGGCAATGGTGTTGAATATAGTGCCCATATGGAGGACGCCGAATATCTCCTTAGTTATGGTGGGCATCAATGACCATTGCGAGCCATAACAAATCCCGGCTAGCATGGTCCCCACGTACAAATTTCCCGGGAAACCGGATGCTATGATGACGTGGCCAGCTGACATGGCTACTAGGGAGAGGGCCACGAACAACGGCCTCGGCCAGCCTCTTTTGAGCAAAGCAATGTCGGATACATACCCAGCGCCGATACGGCCTAGAAAGTTCCAAATGCTCCACAGAGAAACCATAGTGCTTCTCTGGGACGCCGTGTAGCCGAATGATTCCCCTATCTGGCTGATGTTGTTTACTGTCGCGAGCCCCGACCCCATTCCACAAACCATAGACACAAACAACAGCCAGAAGTTGAGGGTGCACATGGCTTTCAAAACATTCATTTCCTCTACTACTACTACATTGCCCCTTTTTACTCTATTCGCAATATTGGAGTCGTTTAACAACAGAGTTTCTGCATAGGATGAACTTGTTCCTTCACTTCCTTGGGCTTTGGTTGCAACACTTAAAGGAGAGGAGAGGAGGGCAAGCAGCCCTACAAATGAGAGGATATGTACCCATCGAGGGAACACGAAGGCGCCCTCCAAGATTCTCAGACAGAGAAGATAGGTCGCGATGACCATTGAAACAATCAAGAAAGTGTTCAAGCGCTTCTTCTCGTCGTCATCATTGGTATAAGTGGCTGAGGTTCGGTGGACTTTGACCGAACACATGAGGGCGAGGGTGATCGCGGTTGGCAACAACGCGAGCATCAAAATTAATGCGCTCGGGTTGTTGTTGTTGAACAATGTCTGGTACAGCTGTATCAGCATTGCCCCACTCAATCCAAGAAACCCCTGGCCATGGAAGAACACAAAAAAACCCATTAGCCTCAATTTGTCGATTTCGGCAAAGCAGACTATTAAGTTCACTTTGTAATGCCACAAAATTGTACACTACATAACTTCATTCTCTCTTGATCAGTTTAGACAGTTTCAAGAATTCAAAAGTACTGTTGAATTTGGGTTAGAAAATTGAACTTTCATTCAAGAATTCAAGCATAAAGCAATGAACTTTAAATCAAGATTTTCAGAAATCAGAAGTGGATAGCAAATTAATAATAGGCTTAAGAAAAATAAACCATTTACGGGGAAATCCAACGAATTACGTTTAAACTTTCGTTCTCTCTTGATCAATTAAGCAGGAAATCAGTCTATAGGCAGTTTCAAGAATTCAAGAAATCAAGAATTCAAGCATAAAGTAATGAACTTTAATTCAAGAATTTCAGAAGTGGATAGCAAATTAATGAATGATAGGCTTAATAAAAATCAACTATTTACGGGGAAATCGAACTAATTAAGTTTAAAAGTTTCAAGAAAAAATTGTGAATTTTGGGAATTTTTTGTTTTGTTTTGGTCTGTCACCTTCATGATTCCGACGACGGTGCCGCCGTAATCCGGGAAGTTGAGAACGGCGGTAACGACATTTGCGGTGTTGAAAAAGGTCTGGGAATGGGCGGCGATGAACATGAAGAGGGACATAACCGCCACGGGCGGCCGCGGAATGGCCCCGACGACGGCGAGGTACATGAAGAAGTAGCCGACGAAGCACTGTGCGGCTCCGGCGAGGTGGACAAGCCAGGGGCCGCCTCTGCGAGGGGAAGGTCTGGAATTGGAGACGGCGGAGTAGAGGAGGCCGGAGAGAATTCCGGCGTTGGCGCCGATGTCCTTGAAGACGGAGACGGTGTCGAGAGTGGATTGGTCGTAAGACTGGGAAGACTTGAGGACAGGGGAGTAGATGCCGAAGGCGTACGACCCGCCGCAGCTGCTCTGGATCCATACGCTCGCCGCCGCCGCTGTCCATTTGCTGCCGCCGCGGCTAAGGCCCAGCCCCTCCATTGCTACGGTGGGAGCGGCTGAGCCACCGACGGAGCTGTCAAGTATCGGACGGTTGCTTATCTGGAAATTAAGAATGATTTTCCTCAAAGAAAAGAAAAAATGATTGGCACCCAATTGTGAGGTAAAAAAAAGAATATTTGTATGCAGGTAGAATTGTAGGAACTAGATTCTAACCCGTGCGATGCACGGTGAGAATTTTATTTTGTAAACAAACGGTATGACCCGTAAAAACAATGTTGTATTATAAATACGACAATTTGTAAACTACCCAATGTATACTAAAATTTGTTATAATGTAGCATATGTACCAATAAATACTGAATGATACTATTAGTTAAACACATATATAATCATAAATATATGTTGCTGCATTCATCAACAGATTCACATGTCAAACGTGATTCAATGACACTTGGTGATTGTTTATGACAAACACCACGCTCATTTTCTGAATTGAGATATGTTAAATTATAAATGTTAAACAATGTATACCATTTAATTTGTAATTCTAACTTTGAAGTAATATTAATTTCTCCGTCATATTTTTAGTTATATGTAAATATTTACACCGTCAAATTTTAATAAATTTCTTTACTAATTTACATTTTTTTATAACTCTTGTTTTAAAAATTTTATAAACTCCCTCCGTTCGTGTGTATTTGTCTAATTTTGACTTTTTTCAGTCAAAATTAGTAAACTTTGATCTCAAATTTAAAAAATATATTATATATTAATACAAATATAATTTTTATTAGATTTATTATATCAAATATATTCAAAATATTATTTAATCTTATTAATTAACATTATATTTTTAATTTAAATTTAAATCAAATATTAAAAATAGTTGATTAAAAAAACTCAAAACAAAACAAACACTAAGATACGGAGTAGTATAAATTATAAAAATTTAAAAGAAGCCCAGAAATCACCTAACCTTCCATACCATGGTAAACCGGCCCACATTTTTGTACCCACCCCATCCAAAATAATAGGCCCAGTCCAATCTCACCCCCTTCATTTTTCCTTCATTTTACAGCCTTCCCTAACCCTCAGCCCCTTCATTTTTCATGCGCCTCTCTCTCTCTCTCTCTTAGAATGATTTCTTGAATCCAGATTTTATTTTTTTTGTTTCGTTTTTTCCACTACAATCCCATTCAAGTCGTTTGAATTTGGATTTTGCTTTCATTCCTTTTAGAATGAATTTTTCAATTCTTTTTGGATTTTTCTTTCTATGTTTATATGTCCTCGGCGTAGACGGATTCTCTTAGAAAATGAGGTTTGCTATCCAACAAAGGGGAACTGGATTGCAGAAAAACATCTATATATACAACATATGTTTGGGAACATGGATTTGGATTTCAAATTCGGATTTGGCTCAAATTCCATGTTTGGGAAACTTACAAATTTTGAATTTGGATTTGAATCAAATTCTTCTCATTCATAACAAAGCTTAATTTTAAATTCATGCGCCTCCCATTGTCATTTGAAATTCAAGATTTCAAATTTTGGAATTGAAATACATGATTTGAAATGAAATCCTAGTTGCCAAACACTACCTAAATGAATTCAGACTTTGTTTCTGCAAATACTTCTCATTCACTCAACACGAAAGTCTCCCCACAGTAAGATGGATGAAATGAAAACTGGACTGTGATTTGGATATTGTGATCTATTTATAACCTAGAAATGAGTGGGAAGTTATCAAGGGGATATTGGGTTGTAGTGGAATATTGCCAATTTAAAAAACTGCTCTCCATTTCACAACGTGGGAAGTTGATGGAGCCTTACCTTTGGGACGTGGGTTATTAATATAAAAATGTTAATATATTATTATTATTGGTATTCTTTTTATTATTTTAATTTATTCGGAAATGTAAAACTGGAAAAACTTTTTTTCAATTTATTTAGTTAAGCCAATTTGTGTAATTGATAAGTTAAAAAAAGCTTTAAAAATTTGTTTTCAAGTGGACCTGTAAAAAATTCTTTATTATAAAACTAAATAAATTAAAAAATCGTTTTATCTAAGAATTCAGCATTGTGGAGAATCTTGGAAAGTTAAATATATTTTTCTAATATAAGTAGGCCCATTTCCGTAAATGAAATTTAGTTTTACTGTTTCTGGCCCATTTCCGTGAATAAGCCCATATACATAGGCGGGAAAAAAATCCTGCTGCTTTTGTATAGAGAAAGATGAAGTGTAAAGCCTTAACCATCTCTAAAAAAAAGTTTGTAAATTTGTTCCCTTTGATACAAGAAATTATAATTATACTCCGTAATTAAATTGGATGTAATTGAATTCCAAATTAGTTTTAAATTCTTGATTTGATATAATTAAGAAATGATTTGATATAATTAAGAATGATTTTCCTCAAAAATAGAAATCATCTTAAATAGGACTAAAACATAGAGAAAAGTACCAAAATAGGACTTTCATGTTTTTTTTCCGGAATAAGACTTTGCATTGTGGTAATGTGGTAGTGTACATGTGCAAATTACTATACTTTCTTGGTAATGTATATGACCATGTTTGGTAATGTAAGTCCTATTTTGAGAATAAAAACATGAAAGTCCTATTTTGGTATATTTTCAATGTTTTAGTCCTACTTTGGTCTTTCTCCCAAAGAAAAAATGATTGGCACCCAATTGTGAGGTAAAAAAAAGAATGTTTCTATGCTGGTAGAATTGTAGGAATGAAGTGTAAAGCCTTAACCATCCCTAAAAAAAGTTTGTAAATTTGTTCCCTTTGATACAAGAAATTATAATTATAATTAAATTGGATGTAATTGAATTCCAAATTAGTTTTAAATTCTTGATTTGATATAATTAAGAAATTGATACAAAATTGTACTATTATGGAGTATAATTCTTAATCTTTTGTTTAATAACAAAAAAAATTGTATAACATGTTGGAATTTTTGGCTTATAACATGACTACTTCGGACGTAAATTCGATGTGGTTCACAAAATTATTTTTCTAAAATAATTATGGATGAATAATCTTCTAAGTGAGACAAATGTTTCGACCTATTATGCACCAAAAATTGTTGAAACACAAAAAATACCAGTATATAGAATTGATATGAAACTTTATTTTGGGATATCTCACAGTAGAGTAATTCAAACCCCATTAAAACACTAACTAAGAAATACAATCGATTTGGCCAAAAAGTTCTCAAATCTGAAATAAAGTGCACAAATCCACAACACAAGAAGATGGTGTGAAATTCAGATTATCGATGAATAATAGTCACTTAATAATAAAATAATATGAAATTGAATCTTTAGGAAGAATTGAACGTGACCACTAGAGCATCTCCAATCATATCATTTTAGCTTGCTAAAAGTCATAATATAGCTAGCTAAACCTTTTTGTTCTTCTCTATAGGTTATGCTTTATTTTAGCAAGTTTGCCCAAAAATAACTTTAGCTTGCTAAAAATAACAAATCCCTCAAATTTTAGCACTTGCTATAATGTAAAAATAATAAATCCATATAACAAGTATGGTTGGAGATGCTCTAACCGGTTGCAAAGATAGTGAGGCAACCGTAGAGAGGAGGGAGAGAGATTTCAAAGAAAAATCTTATTTGGAAGTTGGTTGTTAGCTATTGGTTCTTGATTGTTTGTGTCACATATTCTAAATGATTAATGAGTTTAGCTCAGAGAACAGAACACTTCAGGTGTTCCAATAAATTAGTGGCACCGGAGTGTCAGTAGAAGCGCTCCGTATTTACTTTTGTACCTGATAATTTGTTACTCCCTCCGTCTCAATTTATATCGCATGTTTCATTTTACGATGTTTGATTAAAATTATTTTCAAATCATTTTGTATGGGAAAAAATGATATAGAATTTAAAAAAATAAAAATTATACCGAGTATATTAATATATTATATCAAAAAATCTACAAAACTAATTGTGAGATTGTTATTTTAAATTTTAAATTGGAAAGGGAGAGTAATCCATACAAAAATTTGAATAAACATTCTCACTATAAATATAATGGAGTGTTCTCTAATAATCATAAATAAGTATCTTCTCAAATGAAGCAATCCATTCATTCCATCCCCACCTCTCAAGGGGGTGGTTTCCCTCAGACGGAAAAAAAGGAAAATGTATTTCCTAAAGTGGAACATTAAATTCCTCAGAAGGACAATCGCACATATTACATGCGAAACCCAAAAAAATATATAAAAAAAAATCAGAACTGACGATTTGTCAGTAAAGTTTGCAGTGAAACCGCGTGTACTACATGCGAGAAACCTTTTTTTTTTTTTCAGTTTGCATGTGCTACATGCAGAAATAGTAACTCCACTCCCACCTTTTTCACTCCACCACGGCACCACTCATTAAAACCCCCCTTTTCCACTACTTTTCCACCCCACGTTTTCCACTCCACCACAACCTGGCCTTGACACACAAGCTCAATTGTTTGGGTCATCTTCTAACATGCCTAATGATGTTCCTAGTTCATCGTGGTGGAATTATTAAATTATGTACAATTATGAATTTAAACTTTCCATTTTAATTTGTTATGTACAATTATGAATTATAAATTTTTAAATTGGTAATTTTTTATGCTTAATTATGAATTATAAAAGTAACAAAAAATTCTTAATTTGATAATTTTTTTAAAATTTCGAAATTTGAAGGAAACAAAAAAAATCTTAAATTTGATTTTTTTTTTCCGAAATACGAAAGAAGCCAAAAAAAAGTTTAATTTGATTTTTTATATTTCGAAATCTAAAACAAAAAAAATCGAATTATATTTATTTTGCATGTAGTACATGCGAAATGAGTAAAGTAATGTCAGTCAGCAAGTCAGTCAAAATTGCGTGTTATACATGCGAAATTAGTCAGTCAGCATGTCAGCCCAATTTGCATGTACTACATGCGAAATTAAGGCTCTTCCCTGCTATTAAATCGTGCTATTTTTTAGACATTCATCACAGAATTTCAAATCGTTTTTCTTTGTAGTGTTCATCATGTCCTCTTCCGATAATCAAATTCTTAATATTTTTTTGGGGGGTGAGATCATAGAGAGTGATGGTCATATACTCTACACAAGAGACTACCAAAAAACACTTGTTGTCAATTCAAGTTTTCCATGGGATATTGTTAAAGACGAAATACAAACTCATTTTAGTAATGCTGGATATGGCTCCATTGCTAAAGTTTCCGGGAAAATTCCATATTTTTTTGGGGGTGTATACTCTAGTAGGGTAATGGGCATCGATAGTAATGCAACATGGGAATTGTTCTTGAATAAAGCAATTCCCTTGGGATTACTTGAAGTCGACATTACAGATACTACGGAAAGTAATGTTGTCGGCCCTTCTGCGCAACACATTTCCACGGATAGAGAAAATGTGTGTACATCCACACGACGCAGTAGATTGGTCCGGGTGGTCCATTTAGAGGAGAACATTGACAATCCAGACACAGATAGCGATTCGGAGTATGTTCCGTCTGACAATGAAGACACCGAGGATGCCTGGGTTAAACTCATGGAGGAGCTTGCCACTCAAGGACAACGATCATACAAACTTGGGGCTCCTTTGGAAGAAGGTATGGTGTTTGCTAATTTACATGCTTTACAAGATGCAATCACCAAACACTCGATTGCGCAACATCGATTTTGGATAACGGAGTACAAGAAAAGAGCTTCATGGGCTTGTCGATGTTGGTACCATGCCAAACAACCACGTTGTTTTTGGCGTGCTCAATCTCAACAACTATCCTCTGGAGCGTGGCGCTTGAAGCAATTCAATGATGTTCACAGTTGTCATCCGGATTATTCCCACGGAGGTAACGACTACAATATGGATTACATGTTTATTGGTCGATTTATCGTTGACAAAGTACGGGTTGACCCGGAGTACAAAGTGAAACTCATTCAACACGAATTACTTCAAGAATTCAACGTTGCATTTTCTTATAAAAAATGTTGGATGGGTCGAATCCATGCTTCAGAGATGTTACACGGCAGTTGGGAGGACTCTTACATGCACCTCCCAGTTATCTTATATAACCTTCAAAATGCATACCCAGGAACAATTGTTGAGGTTGTTTACTCTTCACCCCCTCCCAACCTCAATGTTATCCCGGACGAAGGACCGCATTTTAAGTATGCATTTTGGGCATTTCCAGCAGCTATTAATGGTTTACAGTATTGCTTGCCTGTGGTGACGGTGGACGGGACCCATTTGTACGGAAAGTACAAGGGTCACCTACTTTTGGCGGTGGCACTCAATGGAAATCGAGAACTTTTCCCGCTTGCATATGTTGTAGTTGACGGGGAAACATCTGACAGTTGGGCATGGTTTTTTCGTCTTCTTGTTCAAAGAGTTATTTGTTCACATCGGGTTTGTGTAATTTCTGATAGGCATGCTGGCATTATCAACGCATATCGTGATCTTCCTGAGCTACAAACTGGGTTCATAACCAAGCGTTATTGTCTAAGGCATGTCCGCAGTAATTTCATGAATAAATTTCATGACAGTGACCTTAAACGTAAAGTTTGGGCCGCTGGGAGCACACCCAACATCGAACAGTTTAATGAGTACATGGCAGAAATCAGGCACGCAAATGAAGTTGCATATAAGTACTTGAACGATATTCCGCGCGAGGCATGGACTCTCTGTTATGATGGTGGAAATAGATGTGGAATCCTTACAACCAATAGTTCGGAAAGTTTTAATAATATGCTGAAAGGTTGTCGGATGATGCCAGTTACGGCGATACTAAAGATGTCCTACAATAAAATGGTTGAATCATTTGAAAAAAGGCACAAGATTGCTGTTCAGTGGATGCAGAAGAACATCCACACAACTCCTAAAATCACAACAATTCTTCGACACCGCGAGAAGACAAAGCACAAGTGGGTAGCTACAAATTATGGTAACTATCAGTATATAGTTAGCCATACTTCTCGTTCTGATCCAGGTGCTACGTACAATTATATGGTGGATTTGGCTAATAACATTTGCACGTGTGGACAATGGATTGCAGATGGAATTCCTTGTGTGCATGTTCATGGCGTGTATCNGAACATCCACACAACTCCTAAAATCACAACAATTCTTCGACACCGCGAGAAGACAAAGCACAAGTGGGTAGCTACAAATTATGGTAACTATCAGTATATAGTTAGCCATACTTCTCGTTCTGATCCAGGTGCTACGTACAATTATATGGTGGATTTGGCTAATAACATTTGCACGTGTGGACAATGGATTGCAGATGGAATTCCTTGTGTGCATGTTCATGGCGTGTATCATTCTTTTCAACAACTTGCAGATGCTCTTGTTCCAGACAAATACTCTGTTCAGAGATATTTAAGTTGTTACAGTGGTTGGATTGAACCGTTCATTTTTCCAGAAAATTTGAATGTTGGTGATTGGAAAGTCTTGCCACCGATACGTCCTTTAGAAGAGACTCCCCGTCGAGGACGTCGTCAACAACTTCGTTATCCGGGAGAGATGGATCGTAGGGCAAATTAATAATTATGTTTTAATTATTTTTTAAGTGTACTTTTTTATTATGTGTTCAAATAATTGTACTATTTTTTCTATGTGTTTTTTATGTTGTGTACTTTCTTAAAAATGGTTTATTATAATTAATGTTTAATCATATTTTCTTCTTAAATTTATTATTGATGTTGATATTCAAAAATTGCAATAATACAAATTTAATGATATGTAAAGAAATTATATATATATAAATATATAATATTATTTATATAATCTTTAAGAAACCATATATGCATTTGGGGAGATATTATTTAATAAAAAAGTGACATTTTGTTTTGCATGTAGTACATGCGAAATAATTTAAAAAAAAACTATCAAAAGCTTGCACTTGCGTGGTACCATCTGGAAAAGGAACTTGATGTTGATGTTTTAGCATGTATGACATGCGAAATTTTTGAAAAAAAAAAAAGAAAAAAAAACCGCATGTACAACATGCAATTGTTTGGGTGGGGAATTTACTCCCTAAAAAGTTCCCATTCAGGGAATTGCTTCCCTCTCAAGGAAAAGCAAAATAAATAAGCCCGGCAAGGGATGGACGAGGAAACAGTGGAAGCCGCTGCTAGGGAAACTCTCCAACACAAGTGAGTATAAATAAATACTTCCTCCGTTCTAAAATAAATTTTCCATTTGACTTTTCACGGTCTCCAATGCGACACTTTGACTATCAATATCTCAATTTTTATATAAATATATTTTATAAAAATTATATATTTCAAAACTATATTCCAAAATGAATCTATTGCTAATAAATTTATATGAAAATTCAATGTATTTTTCCCTTAATCTACCGTCAAAGTTTATAAAGTCTGACTGCAAAAGTCAAACTGGGAAGTTAATTTAAGGACGGAAGGAGTAAGTAAATAAAATTGCTCCGCATATTGATCATCTCTTTCTCTTTTCTTTTCTTTTCTTTTTTTTTGCCTGACTCGATCTCTGCAGTGTAAAAACAGAGGAGAAGAAGATCAGCGGCGATGAAGCCATCCTGGTGGAGATTGCTCGAGGTCTTGAGGAGTGAGTGTGTGTGTGTGTGTGTATACCGTGAGAATGATGCATTTTTTATGTCGTCACGATGCATTTTTACATTGTGGTAGACTGGTAGTGCTTTTTCGACACTGAGAGTAAAGTTCAACTTATTTATCATAATGCCACTACGTTTTTTCAAATTTTTTCAGTTTTTTTTAGAATTTTTCAAACACTTAGAGCTTACATCTAATGCACGAGAAGAATTCTTATTTCTTTCATTAGATTATATTCTTATTGATCTTATATATATATATATATATATATATATATATACACACACACGCGCGCGCACCACACACACATTGATGTGCTCTTTCTGTCTCTTCGTGATTATTTGTTTAGTCAAAATCAAATATAATTGATATTAGAATATTGATCGAAAATAGTTTTATTAGGTTTAGTTTATAAAATATTACCAAAATATTAGTTTATCTAATTAATTTACAGTATATTTTTTATTTAATTATAGGTCATAGGTTGAAAACGATAGATTTTAAAATATCCAAAACTGAATAAATTCCAAAATAATTCTACTGTAATTTATCTAAATACATATATTTATATTTGGACAAAAACACCCTCTTTTTTTCTCCATCTATCCGAGTTTTCATTTTCTCATCTCTAATCTTAAGTATTTTTTAGCAGGGATATTTTGGACAAATCCACCATGTTCTCTATGAAAATGATCATAATTAACCAAATGAATATAAATCAATCAAATGTAACATTACAGGTGCTTGCTTGGTGTGGACAAGATATTGGAAGGGGCAAAGGAGAAGGAAAGGGGCGCCGCCACACAAGTGAGGAATAATCTGAGCCGCCTCAAAGATGAGCTGGTTAAAAAAAAAGATGAGCTGTGATACGAACGATGTGGTTCGGGAACAGACGGACGTTACGGGCCACGAGGATACGGACCACGTGGATATGGATCCCAACATTGACAACGAGGTGGTTCGGGTCGAGGAAGCCTATGGTGTGCATGCGGACGGGGAACCGGGCATGCGTAGGAGTTCGAGGGCTAGGCGGCTTCCCGCATGGCAGAAGGATTATTTTATTTAGAATTGTTATTTGTTTAATAATAATAATTATTGTTATTTAGATTTTCTTAGGTGAGCGTATCTATAAGCTCCTTCGAGGGTTTCTTTGCGGTTCTTTACCTCGTCACTTTTTCTTGAACCGCCAGGATAGATAATGTAGTAATTAGGTTTTAAAAAAGGGTTTTCTATCTCTCCGCCCCCAACGTACACTTCCAAAACGGCGCCGTTGGGCCTGCCAACATCCCCATGCTGAACTGCGTCATTGCCGGCGTGGACTGCCGGATTTATTTCGTCGACGAGGGAAATTTCAACTCCGCCGCTTTTATTTTCGATTCTTGATGATCACATATATTTGAAGTTAAATATGAGGGAAGTTGAATTTTCCCTCGTATTTTTCCTCCTGCCAAACAAATTAGTGGAAATTTAATTTAATTCTCGTTATATTTGCGTTATAATTTACGCAAATGAGACTTAAACATATCATTTTCTCTAAATAGGACCAGTCCTATCTACTATAACGTCTGCCAATGAAAACTTAAAAAATACTCTGTCTTTGAAAAAAATGACGTACTTCGTATTACACAATTCAAGTAGAATATGACATTATTAAAAATAAAGAATAGTCATTGAAATAATCAATCATTATCCAACACTTGTTGTTAATGGAAATTTAATTTAATTATTGTTTTATTCTCTACTTCTCCACTTCTTTTCTCCTCGTTTTCTTCCTATCCACACTTCCTTTAGCATATGTGTATGTCTACGATGTAATAATAAACTCCTTCCGTCCCAGAATATTCATCTAGTGTAATTTTTTCAAGTCCAACTAGATAAACTTTAATAATCAATTACTCTTAATTTATATTGCATTTTAAAACAATAGAATAAATTTTTGAATTTTTAAAACAAGTTGCATATATTAAAATCATTATTATACTAATATACATTATAATTTTTACTTAATTGGAGTCTAATTAGACTCAAAAAAGTCAATTTGGACAAATACTATGAGACATGTAGTAAGTGTTGGGTAATTACGCAAATAGGACTTAAACATATCATTTTCCCTAAATAGAACTAGTCATATCTATTATAACTTTTGGAAATGCAAAGTTCAAAAATACCATGTTTTTTGAGAAAAAATGACTTATTACACAATTCAAGTAGAATTAGACTTTATTAAAAAAATTGGATAGTCATTGAAATAATCAGTTATTATCCAACATTTGTTGCTAATGGGAGGCATATATGGTAGATCATATGGAGTAAATTTATTTTTTTATTTTCATTTATCACTTAGTTATATAATACAATTACATCACCTTGTATTTTGAAAATTTTTATTATGTAGTTTTCAAATATAATCCATTTGTTAGAATTTAGTTCTGCACCATTCTTATTATTGATTTGTCACAAAATTAGTTGTTCTCTTCCAATATTCAATACAAATGTTCAATACAAATGTTATAACAAGACACCTAAAATATCATAAAGATCGGATAAGATAAAAATAAAAATTAGTATGAAATTAAAAATAAAAATTATACAAAATTATACATTTTAAAATTATACAAAAAAGTTTTTCAAATTGAAAGCTGATATGACTATCATTTTATTAAATGGATAAAAAAAATTGAATTTGGTCATGTAATAGTGAACATAAAATTACTCTTTCTTCGTTGATTATTTATCTAAGTTTGATTTCTTACATTCAAAATTAACGAGCTTTAATCGTTGATTAAATAAAATTGATATTAGATACTGATACAGAAATAATTTTATCGAATTTTTTATATAATATTTTAAAAATATTATTTTATCTAATCAGTATACTTTATACACTTTATTTAATTACTACGGTATAAAGATCAAAATAATTGTGTAGAAATTCAAATTAGTTCTCATGTTCTCATTTATTAGGATTAGCCATACGCATGAGCCCTTTGTTGGATAATAAGTGTGGGTGTTCATATTGGTTGTCCAATGTGAAAATGTTTGCCGTTTTCAACTTTCAACAAGAAACTTCTAACAAACCTCATCACCAATTTGTATGACCACCCTATTCCACCAAGACCAAACATTATTGAGCAAATTGATTTCTCAAAAATCTATGTTTTGTATGTGCAATACTTTCCCTGTTCCTAAAAGAATATTATATTTTTTCAGAACGAAGTGAAATTTCAAATTTTTTGAATTTATTTTATTTAATTTTTGATATAAAAATAAAAGATAAAACTTACAACACAAATTCTACAAATTAAGATATAACAAGAATACTTTATTTTATCAAATAATCAATGAAATTTCGCAAATAAATAAAAGTTTTCGTGAGCTTTGAATAATGAACTGTGATGCCTTTTTGAGAAGGAAATATATTTTAATCCTAGTTAGGAATTCCTACCATAATAAAGGTTTACTTCTTTGTATTTATTTTAATCATAGTTAGAAATTCTTATCATGTACTCCACATTATTGTCTTTTTCAACATTAATAATTTTATTAAAATGTAGTATTTGTTTATATATTTTCAACATATTAAAATACATAGAGTTACTGTTTCTACTAAGGTTCGAATATGTGATCTCCCGTTTGAAAGAATTATGATTCTTGATGGATATCCTGGACTGGGAGTATCCGGCCCAACAAAACAATAAGCGGCCCAACAAAGCCTATCTAATTACAGGAATCAGACATGCTCAGCCAAAGATGCCCTGCTCGGCTGAGCGGGATTTAAAGGAAACCAAGTCCTCAAGATGACAACTATACTCTGATATGCGTCCCTACTCAACCTGGATACATCCACTCGGACCCTTGGGCGGACCCGATCAGATCCTTACTCGGTTGTCTTCTAGCGGGAGAGCTTGTGCACTCGACCTCCGCCGCCAGCAGAGCACTACGGGCCTACCACGGGCGTGGGAGCCTGTATGCCTTATCTAATCAATGGGTCCACACTGAGATATCCTCAGTACTATTGTTTGTACGTTAGTTGTAACCACACTATTTGTAATCATATTTCTTGTATTGTCAATCAAAAGACATAATTCCAGTGGGCACAGCCCACTAGGCCATATCCTAGACAAACGTCTAGGAAACACAAACATGGGGCAAATATATTGTATAAATACCCCTTCCTCTGAAGGAGGGAGGACACGCTCACATTCACTACCAAACCAATATACTTACTCTACTTTCGCGACGAAAAGACACTCAGCCCTTGTTCAATACTCTCCTACCTAGTCTCGTAGGGCTCGGATTCTAAAACACATCAATTCAGTTATACAACGTTTGATTGAAATCAGAGTTAATCCGTGTGAGTCACGGGATGTGACCTCGAGTGAGGTTTGAACATGTCACTATCGGATCTCAGTTTAATAAAAGGGAGAAAGACCAAAATAGGACTAAAACATTGAAAATATACCAAAATAGGACTTCCATGTTTTTATTCCCGAAATAGGACTTACATTACCAAACATGGTCATATACATTACAAAAAAAGTATAGTAATTTGCACATGTATACTGTCATTTACCACAATGCGAAGTCACATTACCACAGTGCAAAGTCCTATTCTAGGAAAAACAACATGAAAGTCCTATTTTAATACTTTTCTTTATGTTTTAGTCCTATTTAGGATGATTTCTATTAATAAAATTGGTGTTGGAGGAGACTAATTTTTTACATTTTGAACTTGGGGTGTTTGAAAAACTTCTATACATCTCCTTCCTCAACTCCTCCATATTTCTATGCTCTTGACTTCCTCGGCGACAACCGCCGCCGTGCACCGCCACCACCCCGGGGCTGACTTCTCTCCCGTCCAATCATTTAATGGGTAATCAAATCGCTTGCTTAAAGCCCAAACCCAAAGATCCCGGCCGCGAGCCAAAGAAAAAGAAGACCAGAGAACGCCGCCCGAACCCGTACGCGGCTTCCCCTGCTCCGCCGCCGCCGCCAGTTCGGGTTCTGACGGATCCCAACCCGAATACCCGAATTTCCGAGAAGTATATTCTGGGCCGGGAACTGGGTCAGGGCGAATTCGGGATCACCTACCTCTGCACAGACCGCGAGACCCGGGAGAAGCTGGCCTGCAAGACGATCTCGAAGAGGAAGCTCCGGACGGCGGTGGACGTGGAGGACGTCCGGCGGGAGGCGGCGATAATGGCGAGCCTCCCGGACGACCACCCGAACATCGTGAAGCTCCGGGGGACGTACGAGGACGACGAGGCGGTCCACTTGGTGATGGAGCTCTGCGAGGGCGGCGAGCTGTTCGATCGGATCGTGGCGCGTGGGCATTACAGCGAAAGAGCCGCCGCCGCACTCGCCAAGACGGTGGCGGAGGTGGTGCTTGTGTGTCACGCCCACGGCGTCGTGCATCGGGACTTGAAGCCGGAGAATTTCTTGTTCGCTAATAAGAAGGAAAACTCTGTTCTCAAAGCTATTGATTTTGGGCTCTCGGTGTTTTTCAAGCCTGGTATGCATTTTTTCGGCCCATTTTGTAAACTAAAAGTTGATTCATATTTCATTTTCTGACTCTTATAAAAATTGAACGTCTAAAATGACACCAGTTACATATACACTAGTTGCTTACATCAGTTTGTTTACGATACCTACGGTGTCCATTTGTAAAAATGACGGTTCCTACCCTCTCCTAAGGATTAGGGGAATTTAGGAGGGGAATTAGGGAGGTAGAAACCGTCATTTTTACAAACAAGGCATCATAGGTACCCCAAACGAACTGGTGTTAGCAAATGACACCAGTATTACAAGTGTCATTCTAGACTTGCTCTATATAAAAATATGAATTATAGTGTTGTGAAAAGAGTCTAAAATAATGAACAACCATGCTAGGGGTACACCAAAGTTGTACCCAAATTTGTATTCTAAAAAGTACATCGATATTTTAACGGTTCACATAGGCAGAAAATTTTAGTTTAATTAAAAAAAATTGCACTGACATTTTTTGCCAATGTAAATCATCACACTAACATCACAATAGCACAAAATGTCATTGCATACCTTTGGGTACAAAATGTACAAATTTTGGAGTACAAATAGCTTACTCCACTTATGAAACAACAACATAGCATCAAATAAATGTGTACCCCAAATGTACCTCAAGTGGTTCAACACTACACACTCTTGCGTGCAAAAAACTAAATTAAGAAATAAATAAAAGTATGTGGGTAAAAAGTGGATGGAGTACATTTAGGGTACACATTTGATGTACCCTTGACATCCCTCAAATAAAAATTGTATTTATGGGCCTTTATACAGGAGAGAGGTTTACAGAAATTGTGGGGAGTCCATATTATATGGCCCCTGAGGTTTTGAAGAGGAATTATGGACAAGAAGTTGATATTTGGAGTGCTGGAGTTATCATTTACATTTTGATTTGTGGAGCCCCTCCTTTTTGGGCAGGTATTTTTTTTTTCTAAATATTTTGAATTGGGAACAAAACTAAAGTAAGAATAATAAATATTGAAAATATATACTAAAATAAAATTTTAATGTTTTTATTCTCGAAATATGAGTTAAATTTCATTTACAATGCCAATCATGACCATATATACATTACCAAAAAGTATTGTAAAATATTCATATATAGTGTCATATTACCATAATGAGAACTCCTACTTTAGGAATAAAAACATGGAGTTTCTATTTTGATACTTTCTCTGTGTTTTACTCTTATATAGGATGATCTTTTTTTCGAATTCTTCTAGAAACTTTAATTAAGTTAAACGTGTTGGAGTAGAATAATACTATATCACTAGCATTATATCTTCAATTATTCTGTACAAATTTGGATTTTTGATTGATGAGTTGTTTTTTTATAATATGGTGCAGAAACAGAACAAGGTGTTGCTCTTGCAATATTGAGGGGAGTGATTGATTTCAAGAGGGAACCATGGCCTCAAGTCTCCGAGGGTGCAAGAAATCTCGTAAGACAGATGCTTGAACCCGACCCTAGAAAGCGTTTGACCGCCCAACAAGTACTCGGTATGTCTTAAGTCATCTCGCATTGATCATATAGTGGCCCTGTAGTATATTTATGAGTAAAGACTATAATTGATCCTTGAAAATACGGGGTCTACCATAATTAGTTCTCTATTTCGAAATATTACAAGCATGGCAGAAGGCTATAAAAAGAACTATTAATGGAAGGTACCCATTCACGAGAGACTAGGAATGTAGTAATTGGTAACAGAGGACTGAATACGAAAAATTGTCAATTTTAAAATACCAACTACATAATTTACTCTATATTTATGATAGTCTTTGTATAATACGGAATAGCCAACTTCTGTTATTTAATTATTCCGTAGCTATTTGATAGAACGTTGTTTGGAATTCGGAACACCGTTTTCAATTTATGTTGACGTTTTTAAACTGCAGACCACCCTTGGATACAAAATTCCAAAAAAGCCCCAAATGCTCCTTTGGGTGATATAGTCCGGACACGTCTCAAGCAATTCTCCCTAATGAATAAGTTCAAAAAGAAAGCACTCCTGGTAAGCTCATAAATTTTGTCTTATTTCGCGCCAGCTAAATATGAAAATATTGTTAAAATCCCACATCGAAACTTTGAAAATAAAATAATAGTTTTATAAGTTCTTGAGTTGAATTAGATAATCGATTGAATTCAACAATTTAGGTAATTGCAGAACACCTAGCCATTGATGAGGTAGAAGTGATCAGAGAAATGTTCACATTGGTAGACACAGATGGTGATGGGAAAGTGACATATGAAGAACTTAAAGCTGGCCTGCAAAAAGTTGGTTCCCAATTGGCAGAACCAGAGATTAAATTACTCATGGATGTGGTAAATTAAATGTCCATTTTTTTCTTGGTTTCTTCTTTGAAAACTTGTGGTTTGTAAGTCAGAAAACGTATTTTTGTACTCGTTTTTTTCATCGACGTTTCTAAGAGTTGGGCATTGATTAGGCGGACGTGGACGGAAACGGGCTCCTTGGTTACGGGGAATTCGTGGCGGTGATCATGCACCTGCACAAAATGGAGAACGATGAACACCTTCATAGAGCATTCTTGTTTTTTGATAGTGATGGAAATGGTTATATTGATCTCCGTGAGCTCGGGGAAGCTTTGGCTGACGACGATTCTGGCGAGTGTGACATCGCCGTCCTCAACGACATCATGCGCGAAGTTGATTCCGATAAGGTCCGTTGTCCTTTCGTTTCTAAATAAGCGTTAGTTGTGATTTTCTAGATGCATTATGAACCTACATGATGTTCATCTGCATTCATTCAACTTTTAATGCATCTAGAAAGTGATAGTAGTGCTCATTTGGCAAACACTTCAGAATTTTAAAAAGGCTAGTGTTAGTTTTAGCATTTTTAAAGGTAATCGGGACCATTAAAGTTTAATCCAAAATGCTAATGTTAATTGAAATGTTGTTCCAAAACACGGGCATGATAGACGCTTGAGAATGAAGCGAGTATTTCCCGCTCGATTTGTGTTAAAGCATTCCACATTGGTCAATGGTTGAGATTTGTACTCCAGCCAGGGCCGGTCCAAGGGTGGGCCCAGTTACCCTACCGGCTCAGGGTCATTTTTTGGAGGCCTTGCATTTTTAATTTTTAAATATTTATATATTGTATATTTTTTAATAAAAAATTTAAAAACTTAATTTTTTAAGGTAGTTATTACGATATTTAATTATATTATTAGAATTTACTTATGTGTATTATTATAATATTTAATATTATTTTAAAAAATAGTTTATGTAATTTAATTTGTTAGGACCAAGATTAATTTTTTTTCCTCCCGTTCTTGACTCGAGCTTTTATACAATGAATAAGTGGAGTTTTAACGGATTCTTGGATAAGATCTTGTTATGATAGAATTCAAGATTAAATTCAATCGATTAGTTAGCTTGAGTTTCGGGGCTAGCTAATCCACCAGCAAGTTCCAACTTTGGTCCATTTATAATTTAAGCAAAAAAGTATACTTAACAAGAATATACGGTGTACGAACATTAAAAATATATCAAAATGAGAGTTCTATATGAATAAGAGTTAAAATGTATTTACATGACCAATAATGACCATGTACATTACCAAAAAGTATAGTACAATTTGCATGTATAGTGTCACATTACCACAGTGTGAACCCATAGCTAGGAAATAAAAATATGGAACTCATATTTTGATATTTTTTTCTATGTTTTACTCCTATTTAGGAGTACTAAATTTCTATTTATGATGATTTCTTTTTAATTAAATTATAAACTTAACTACAAAAAAAGGATTGAACCGCTTAAATGTTTTGTTTATTTATAGGATGGGAAGATTAGCTATGAGGATTTTGTTGGGATGATGAAAGCTGGAACCGATTGGAGAAAGGCGTCGCGACAATACTCGAGAGAAAGGTTTAAAAGCCTCAGTTTGAATCTCATGAAGGATGGCTCACTCCAGCTTCAAGGCGGGTTAACTCGGGAATCGGTTGTGGTTTGAAGTTTGAATTGAAGCCATTTTTTGTTATAAAAAAAGCAAAAATTTATGCCCAATCCATAGGGTCCTTGAATACTAATTAGATAGCTATATGGAATGAGGTAAATTAAGTTTCTATTACTTTTTTCGTCCCACAAAATTTTTCTAATTTTGATTTTTAAAAGATTTAAGGAGAATGTATTTTGTTATTAACATTCTAAAAATGCCCTTTGATGTGATGAGTAAAAATGGGATATTATAGATAGATTAATTTAATAGTGAAAAAGTGTGATGCAATAAGTATGTTAAGAATTAGTAGGGATAAAAGTGACTTTTTAATGTAAATGAGAAATACTTTTTGAAAAAGAAAAAAGTTTGGTGGGATGGAGGAGTGTAATTTTAATCTTGACAAATAAAGAGTAAAATCTGTTTTGAAAGTATTTTTTTGTAATCCTGTTTTGAAGATAATGTTGGACAATGTGCTATCTTGAATATATATTTTTGCAATGTCCTTTGCCCATTGTCTTTAAGGTTTTGAAAATGATAAAAGGGTGACAAAACATCATCATCATATTGTGCATCAAGGCTAAAAATCAAAGCTACAACAAGTTCATATCCGTCCGTGAAGAAGGGACTTGAGCATCGGTGGAAGGAACGAGACCGAAGAGGTTGTTTCCTTAGTTGGGTAGTGTTTTAGGTGTTAGATTATGTGTTAAAGAGTATGACATCTCTAAGGTTCATTCCCTTATCATCCTACCTTTAAAACACATTTTAGATCAGCCTTTGTGTGGGGAAGTTGCCTTTCTTTTCGAATAATCATTAGTTTATTCGAATAAGGCGTGATCATTCCTGTGGCTGAAATTAACCTGTTTTATTCGAATAAATCCACCACTTATTCGAATAAGTCCTGCTTTTCAACCTGATTTATTCGAATAAATCACCATTTATTCGAATAGGAACTGGTTTTTCAAGCCACGCGATTGATCCAAACTATTCGAATAGTTCTTGAGTTATTCGAATAAGTCGATAGTTTCAACTACCAAACGGCTAGTTTTTTGAATGTTTTTCATCCCTATCCACTCATAACTTCTATAAACTACCTACTTTCGTGATTATCTTCATAAGAGCACTTTGAACACTTTGAAGAACATATCCTTTGAATATCCAAAGAGATTCTACTCAATCCCCTCCTTATATCCAAGCAAGGCAATTTTTTTGATTGCTAAATCATTTCTTGCTTGAGTTTTTCCTCATTGCTTGAGTCTTTAATAGATATTGCCATATTCTAAAGGACTTCATTGTATTTGCACCAATCTACTCCGTGTTGGGAGAATTATTCGGTTGCGGTTTGTTTTTTTAGTTTATAGTAAGGGATTTGTATTCTTGGTGTTGGGATTACACCAAGTGGTAGAAATCCTAACGGTTTGTGAAATCAAACGTTAGGTGGAAGAAATCCTGAGTTTTGTGAAATCAAAACTTTGGTGGTAAGATAAGAGGCTTGTGAAATCAAGTTCTCGAGTTGTATTCGGATTGTCAAACTCCATTAAGTTTGACGGGTTAGTGAAGGCCTGGGCACGATTGCTTCGGGGACTGGATGTAGGCATTTAGGCCGAACTAGTATATATCGTGTGTGCATTGCTCTTATCCTTCACTTTATTTTGTTTGTGGTGCATTGTTTTTTATTGAATATTCGTGAAGAACGTTTCCGCGCAAAAAAACTGGTCTTTAGGGCAACACCTCTATTAACCCCCCCTCTAGAGGTGTGCGAGACGTGATGGAGTATTCCATATTGCCATATATAGGTTAGTTTGGTATACTTTCATCCGTCTGTAAAGTTTGGGAATGTGCCCACTTGTACAAATTCTTTTTGCAATAGATCTTCTCAAATTGTTTTTTGTTAAAGTTTTATGAAGAGTTGAAAGAGGTAGAAATTTATTTAAATGCATTTAATGAAATTAGGTAGAGTATATTAAATAAGTGAGTAGGTGTAATAAATAAAATAAATGGGAGTAATTGTGATATCTTATATGTTAAAAATTTAACGGAAAATATTTCTCAAACAATTGAAAAAGATATTTGAGAAGATTTATGGTTGACAATGGGAGTATATACTTAGATGAATACATCTAAATGTGTCAAAATATAATGAATTTTCTTCCTTCTATTTTGCTTTTGTAATTTAATTTAAATAAATCTTACTGGATAAGAGTAAAAAAATAATAAAAATATCAAAATATGAGTCTTAAGTTTTTTAAGACCAAAATAAAAGTATAAAGACAGTCTGATGTATGAGTACACTTTGACATTTAGGTAAAAAAGTGACCACTATGTAATATGGCGGTGTGATTTGTCAACGTCGACGATCGACGACGACACTCTGGTGGCCGACAGTGACAAATGATAGTGTGACAGTGAGAATGTGACAGTTGCAATGACAGTGTTAACTCTTATTTTGATATTAAAAGATGAGTGTGCAACAATGATAATGTGAACTCTTCTTTTAATATTAAAAGATTTAGGTTTCCTATTTTAGTGTTTTATAATTTTTAACTTTTATCTAGGTAGTTTCCCTTTTATTTATTATGGGCACATGCGGTTAGGGATGAGTTCGGTATTAACGATTCAATTCTCACTCAAAACCAAAGACAAAACGAAAGATAAGTATTAGAGTATATAAAAATCTTTTCTGTGCCACAACTATAAGTTTGAGCTTTTGGTTAAGTTGGTTCTTTGAGATGGTATCAGAGTCTTATTGACTAAGAGGTCACAAGTTTGAAACTCAGTACTTCCCGATTTTAAAAATTTAATGTTTCACGTGCAAAGCTCGAAAAAAACTACACCAACACGTGAGGAGCAGGTTAGAATATAAAAAATCTTTATTGGGTCAAACCGCAAGCTTGAACTTTTGGTTGGTTTGGTTCCTTGACGTGATATCAGAGCTTTCATGACCAAAAGTTCACAAGTTTGAAACTCACCGCCACCTAGTATTAAAAAAATTAAGGTTTCACGTGCAAGGCTTAAAGAAATCATGCCTCCACTTAAGGGGCGTGTTAGAATATATATAAACATTTCCTGTATTATTTCATGTGTCATGATCACAAGCTTAAATTTTTAGTTGAATATGTTCTTCGGTTTATGCATTTTTAGAGGCGGGCCTATGCCTTAGGAGTAGGGGGTCATCCCAACTAATTTTTGGATGTTAAGGTTATTTTTTTTTAATTTTTTACACTCATGTATTATTTGACCCCAATTAAAATGAAGGGACCCCAACTAAAGTGTGTTTCAATATATATAAATAATATTATATAAAATAAAATTTTAAACTATCTATTCAAAAACTCACATTCAAAAAATATTTGACTAAAATTTTTAACTTTTTTTAATTATTTTAAATTGTATATTGAAAAAAACTTAGGCACTTCCCCTAAATCCCGACCTTTTGTGCCTCCAACTATTTAAAGTTCTGGATCCGCCACTGCATTTTTATTTCAATTTTATCGAATCTATTAGTTGTAAAAAATAAAAAAATTATAAGCATTAAAATAGTTGTAACGATACTAACTCGATAAGTAATAACAAAACAATGCTCTTTATTGGCTAAAGTAATGTTCTTTTAACAAAGTAGAAAAATGGCTCGATGTTACAACCTTTTTTAATGATTCAAGAACTGATGGGATTTAGCCCACCGACTATGGCAGTACGAAAAACTTGACGGAAAAAAAAGATAATTTCTCGGAAAATATGATCTCAGCAAGACTTGTGTTAACTTGATTTTTGCTTGGATTGCAATAGAGGGTTTTTCCTATATTTATAGTCTAATTTTTCTAAGCACATAATGTCCTATGTTATCAGCATGATTACCATGACGTGCGTCACTTATGAGCGAAGAATTCATTCATCAATTATCGATGATCAGTGAGATTGACACTCCACTTATACTTTCGGTTCGGGCCACGGCCCAAATCCTACTAACCACACTTCCTCCGGCCCAACTAATATTCTAACTCTTCTTTGGCATGAATTCGGCCCTCTCATTATATTGGGCCCGAACTACACGTTTGGGACTACCCACTCTACTCATTCGGCACGATATCTATGAACAACAGAGTAACTATTAAATTGAGGGGTAAATTTCACCAATGGTACCTGAACTTTAGCTGGAATTTCAAAGTGGTACCTGAATTTCAAATCCTTTCAAATAAATTCCTGGACTTACACAATCCTTTCACTAATGAACCATTAGCCCGTTTCTAGGTTAACTTCCGGTCATTTGGGCCAAATTCGAATTTTATATATTTTAAAATTTTCAATTTGACCCCATTTCTTCTTTTCTTTTCTTCCAAGCCCCGCCGCCGCCGCCCGCCGGTCAAAGTCGCCGGAAAATGAACTTTGTCCGATTCTGGCGGGACCAATGTCATTCTCTTCGTCTTGAGACGAGGATCAATAATATCCAAATCATTTTGTATAATTTGGCCTGTAACTTCTCGAATCTGAATTTTTCTACTCGAAAAAACCCTAAAATTCGAAATTGGGTCCAAAATTGGGGGTTTTGCAAATCGTCATCAAATCTTGCAATTGAGGGGTCCTTGGAGGTTGCCTTGATGCCACGACCACATTGGAGTGGATTCCCACCGTCAATTTCGCCGAAGTTGGCCGGAAAATGCTTCGACCCGCCGGAAACCGCCGGCGGGTCGGAGTGTTTTCCGGCTAAATCCGGCGAAATTGACGGCGGGCTTCCACTCCAATGTGGTCGTGGAATCAGGGCGACCTTCAAGGACCCCTCAATTGCAAGATTTGATGACGATTTGCAAAACCCCCAATTTTGGATCCAATTTCGAATTTTAGGGTTTTTTCTAGTAGAAAAATTCAGATTCGAGAAGTTACAGGCCAAATTCGACAAAATGGTTTGGATATTATTGATCCTCGTCTCAAGACAAAGAGAATGACATTGGTCCCACCGGAATTGGACAAAGTTCATTTTCCGGCGACTTTGACCGGCGGGCGGTGGCGGCGGGGCTTGGAAGAAAAGAAAAGAAGAAATGGGGTCAAATTGAAAATTTTAAAATATATAAAATTCGAATTTGGCCCAAATGACCGGAAGTTAACCTAGAAACGGGCTAATGGTTCATTAGTGAAAGGATTGTGTAAGTTCAGGGATTTATTTGAAATGATTTGAAGTTCAAGTACCACTTCGAAATTCCAGCTAAAGTTCAGGTATCATTGGTGAAATTTATCCTTAAATTGAGCAACTAAACCTTTGC